AAGGTCAGAGGAGGTTTGTGCCATACCTGATTTGCTTTGCACTCAGAACAGGAAATCATTTATTTCCGTCCTGACCACGTCTTATTTCCACTGAAGAGGTGAGGGATCAACCCAAGAGGCTGTGAATTAGAGCTCTTTTTTTCTCATTTTAAAACATCTATTCTGCTGATACATTCCACTGGTGAAAACAATCTGGTCTTGGCAGCAAAGCAACATGAATTCATTTACCTCTACACAGCACTGGGTGGAGGGGGTTGAAGGTTCCCAGTGGCCTTTAGTGACTCACAACAGTGATAAAAGAGAGGTAAATGTGTTGATGTCTCACACTTGCAGTAAGAAAGTAGGATAAAATGCGGCTCATCCAGTAAGTGCAACGATAATGAGAACTGAGCATGTCTCTTGGCCTCTGATGGAGAGAGATATCGTGTTACTGCCAGGGGGAAGTTGAAATAAACTTGGAACACAGAAAAGAACACACAAATTGAAGTAAACTCTGTATTTTGACATGAGTATTTTTTGCATTTAGATGAGATAGTACCCTTCTGATTGACAGCTTCTTTTAATCATCTCCTTCACTGTCAAAACAAACGATTTATAGCTTGCAGGTGGTTGATGAAAGCCTCATTTACTTAGAATCCCAAGAAATCAAACATTACAATTGTAATTATACATTTGCTGTAATTTGTTTATTCAAAATGACAGCAGCAGTTTTACTGTATCAATGCACACTTATGAAATAAACCAGTCATAAATTAATGCAGTATCTTATACGATGTCTATTAATAGCTTGGATTCACTGAGGTTGTGATAAACATCATCCATCAATGGTACCCAGTTAACAACTCTCAAAAGGTTACACAGTGTGACAGTGTTGTTCAATATGGAATAATTATATGAAAGACGACGTCTGTCCCACTAGATTTTTATTTTTTGCATCTATCTGACGTTTGTCTCTGCTGCATTCTTTGCTCTGTGTGTCTGCTTTGTGCTCATTCAAACAAATACACAAGAAGCTCCACAAATTTCGCCTGCAGCTACTTTCTTTAAATTAAATTCCAGTGGTAGCAGCTCTCCATTCCTCTCTGAGGACTTTGGTATATATATTCTAGTGTGATTTAAAATTAGCTGTTGCACTTCACATCCTTTTCTTTAATCCTTGTGAGGTGAAGGATTAAAAATTCTTATCAGGTCATGTAGATCAGAGGGATTAGTGATATAATCCCATTTGAACACACACTGAGTTTTGGAAACCTTGTGTAATTCTGTTCAGCTAAGATTTGCCCACTGCACCAAACATTTACATTTGCACAAAACCAGATTATCTGTCTGCCATCCCTCTCTGTTGGGTTTGTACGCTTCCCAAGCCAACAAGATTTGTTCATTTGTCCCTGTCCTTTGGTTGTTGGAACATGACCATTGGATTCTCCTAGCTAAACAATCAAAAACTTTATTCTGTGTGTTGTATTTTTTTTCTTCTTCTCATCTAATTTATTTGTGTGCTGTCTCTCCTTCCTCCAAAATAATGTGTTATAAGTGGTTTATCTTCATTTGAGTGTGAAATTACTAAATATCACATAGCATGATAACACTGGAGTCATTTTTCCTAATAGGAAATGTGAAAGCTGACGGTGCAACAACTGCAGTATGAAAAAAAGACAAAAAATGTATTCTCGTTCGGCCCTCACTGATGTTGAAAAGATAACCGCCCCCACTTTTATATGCATGACACGTTCCCGTGTTGTTAAATATCAAGACCATTCCTCCTCCTAATGACCTAGTGTGCATTGCATCAGCAATGCATTCCTTTTTGCTCCCTGGATTTTAATCTAACCCACCTTCATCCACCTCGGCCCCATGCTGGCATGTAATGAAGAATACAGACTTTTTGAATTACAAATTAAGCAAATGCAATTGCTGGTAGGTTGGAAATGATAGAACTCATACATTGTTCTTGTATACTCATAATGTAATGTGTAATGCATTTGATCTTTTATGGGTTTTTTTAGGAATGCATTCTATCCAGGCTAAAATGCAAATCATTGTTTTCTTTACTATTCTACAGAGCAGCAGAATGAAAATCTTTGTCTAAGAATTGATACTGAAATATGCTGCTTGATCTCTCTCTACTCAGTTGATCAAACAGCGAATCTGTCAAGACAACTGTGGTTAACTCTCTGTTTCGCTGTGAGTGAGGAGCACGACAGTGCTTCTTCCATCCTCATGTTTCTCCAAAAAGGAATCAATGAAAGCTACTGTTCAGTTGCTGTCTCTAGTTAAAGTTTTATTTCTTATGTTTTCCTTGTTGAAAAAGATAACCAGAGAAACGACTCCAATCTTATGGTAAAAATTGGGTCCCCTGATGTTTTAGGGCAACATCAGTACTGCATTGTGGATGTGGATTGGCTCGGTCAGGACCATATGGCACCGTCTCAGTTGGGTGCCAACATAAGATTGTAGGTGACTGTATAAATTAATGAGAAATATGAGTGGTGTTGATGGCTTGTGAACCCAGGTCCTTAGCATATGGTTAGCTGTGGTGTCGTGGTCCTGGGGAACTCTAATAATAATTTCAAAGTACAGAAATGCACAGGCATTTGACAAGCTGTAATTAGGCTTGTCTGTGCAAATATAACACATCAAAATGATTTATCCATCTTCACTCACCTGTGAAGTTAAATATCACTGCTCACTTTGCTGATGGTTGTCTTAACTGTAAGGTGCTCACATTGTAGGGCATTGTGATGCTGTGATTGGGCCCTCCTCATACCAATAAATGCATTTGTTAGTGGTAAAAAGAAAATACAGTGAAGACTAACAAAGATAAATAGAATACATGCATGAGAATATAATCTGCATGAGAAACTCTCACTTTGTGTTCATTATCAAGGGAACTTATCTCTGTATATTGTACCATAAAACAGGTTAATGGTGTATGAAAGAGTTCGGTAAAGAGTGAAACACACATTTATATTATCAACTAAATAAATCACCTCAGTTCCTTTTAACATTAACACCGCAGTCATTATTCAGTTACAGGAAGGAGAACGAATCGTACACATTTCAGCCAATTTCATCATCGGCTTGTTTCTACCATTGAGCAACTGTCTGTGGAAGACAGCTGAGACAATTCGGCCCCTTCCTGCAAGATACTTCTCCTCTTCTGAAGTCACACTTCAGTGGAGAAGCTGTACAGTTAAAACAAGTCACGTGCCACACAAACTGTATCAGGCAGGAACTGCATTTATCTATGGAGCATGTGCTCGCTCTTCACATTAACAAGTTACTGACAGAGAAAATGCCATTCTCAATAATTCATGACGAATTTAAAATACCAGTGGCTTTTTGGAGCCTGCTCTCTTATCAGTAGCACAGATTAGAATGGCGTGGTGCATCTGAAACCGATTTTTGACCAATATCTGGATCTCATTTCCCACTTTGATGGGAATGTCAGTCATAGCTCTGACCTCAAGGAGGTGATATGTGTATAGATTTCACAAGGTTTACAATCTTTACTGGTGAACATTTTACTGGCTCTATGAGCCATCATCAAGCTGCATGGCAGCATCTTGAAATGAAACATCAATAATTCAAGGACAGTTAATTTACCTTGAGATGGGTCTTGCTGGATCTCAAAGATAGAGACTGAGATTTAAATGTGCCTGCAATCAAAGCGTAATGGCCTCTTTGGGCCTTTTTTCACTCATTAAACATTATGTATGGCAGTTTAAGCTTTGATTACTAGCCTTGTTTTGAGATATTGAGATTTAAGATTGACACCATAGGGGGTAGATTTACTCTTGCGGAGCATTGTAGTGCATCTGCAACAGCCCTGAGAATCTTCAAAAAGCATTACCGAAAGCAAGTTGAACTGTTGGGCTTAAACAGAACGCAAACATTTTCTGCAGAGGCAGGCTGGAATGAAGAAAGCACGCTCTGTGTCCTAACAGGTCCCCTGGTATAATCCAGTGCTGAAAGTTCAGATACAGTAGGTTTGTATTTTAGATTGCCTTTGTTAATAATGCAAACCTCTGCTGCAGTCACAGACTGCCTCTGGAATGGCGGTGCAGAGCACAGTATTTGTGACAGATCAGCTGTCACAGCATGAGGAGGATTTGCAGCAAGTTTGACCTTCTAATGATTGGACTCCAACTAAGGCCACAGCAGGACACATGAGTAATTTCCTTCTTTATCTGAGAAGATGACAGGAGTGTCAGCAGCTGATGCACTACTATATGACTGGGTAATTGATATGCCTCTTGTTCTACTTAGAGTGGAAAGGCCTATGCCTACTGTTCTGAATATTGGTGAGATAATGTACATATACAGACATACAATTTCACCAATCTTCCATACCATATTGATAGAATCCTCTCTGTTATGTGCAATTTTTCTTTGTTAGATCAGGCCAGAGGGATTGGCAGGAAACAAAAACATAAGTGTCATCTCTTTAACTGTGATGTAGCTTGGTCGTCTTTTAGACTGGCAGAGTTTTAAAGTCTCAATAAAATCTCCCAAATTGGGATCAGTTCTGTGTCTCAGAAACTTCAAGTTCACTTTAAAAAATACACATTAGAGGTTTAGAACTTTCAGACAGAAATAACATGACTGCTGTCTCCATTGTTTAAAAATGCACTTATTTAATTTACATGATAAAAATAGAAGTCCCATAAACATGCAGAAAAAATGTAATTTTATTTGAATAGTTCATTTTTATTCTGATGTTTTCTTTGGCTTTCAGAAGGTGATAGGTCAGCACTAAGGAATTAAGGCAAAATTTGGACCCTCAGTAGTAGTTAGATTTTCCCTTAAATAGATTAGCCAGATGTGGTAGAAGAAGTTTTTGGAAAATGTCAACCACTGATAAATCTTAGGCAAAAGAGTATTCTGTTCATTGCACAAACTAGCTCTTTGTAGAAAGCTTCTAAAGATTAAGTTTATCCAGTGGGTCACTGTGGCTGTTTTCTATTGGATGGGTTAATGATTTCTGGTTGTTCCCACAGTGGCATTCCCGGGAAGACATGTGGAACTATTATCCTGTCAGCCGAGGAGCTAGGAAATTGCAGAGTAAGTACAAAAAGTTTACCTCCTAATTAGTGGACACAGTTACAGAAGAAACATTAGGCCGTGTTTGCTGATATGATTCTAACCATCCTCTTAAACACTGTCACATCAGAGCTTAATTGAACATATTAACTGGTGCAAAGAGCATGTTTAAAAATGTTCAGATGCTGGCGTAAATGAAGTAGGATGTTTATCATCCTTCCCATCACTGCGGTATACCGGCTCATAACTGCCACATTACACGAGTACAGTTTACCACGCAAATGCATTCGTCAGTTGAATTTTTTTCATGGCGACCATACTAACGATTTGAATGACTAATGAGACCGCCTTCATTCAAATCACTAAATCAAGGATTTGCTTCCGTGTTTGATTTATTCTTCCATGAGTCTGCATTAATAACTTGTGTCTGCTAATGCTCATTGGCTCGGCTAAATGGGATACTAAATAAACACATTACAGTGCTGCCACGGGAGCAGTAGAAAACCGTACGATTTACTGGCCGGAGCTGGCCTCCCTCTGAGACTGTACAGGAAGTCATCATGCTTTTTTTTTATTGATGCTCTAAAACGCATAATAATGTGATTATTCAAGATTTCTTACTTTTAATTGTGTTTGTTTATTTAAAAACTCATTATTGGTTTACCTGAAACAACTTTTATTTATTTTATTGTCATGATCATCTAGTATGAGCACAGCAATAATGAGAAAGAAACTCTAATGATAACCATCACTGCTTCTGTCCTGCTGAACTAAAGTGTCAGTACTCACTCTCGTTCAGGGGGTTGATGTGAGTCATTCAGGTACATTGCGTCTGCAATGATTGTAAATTTACAACATCAGTGCAAAGCACCACTTAGAGATGCGATTTAGTAATAAAACTGCAAATGATCATTACTGGTGAAAATGAATGCCTCCTTGCTTTCAGAGTCAAGCTGAGGTACATGGGCATGACATCTCAGAACTTCTCTATTCATGTGGATTTTAGTTCTGAATAGCAATACCTTGGGCTCGATGAGAGCAAAAAGAAACCGAAGAAAAAAACATGGATAGTTGTAAAGACACTGCTGTTAGGCAAAGTTCCACATCTGTGCATTATACTGGTGCCAAGGGTGAGGATGATGTTTATTCTGTAAATCCACCAGAGTCCAGAGTTGTTGCTTTGCCTGAGGTAAACAGTGTAACCCCTGTTTGGGAAAAGGGAGAGCGGCAGAGTGGGAATCGACATGGGAAGTTCTGCAGGTTTGGCTCACACCTTCGTGGGTAATGTGCCAGGTATTGTTAGACAGAGAAACAGCCTCTGCATGGATCAAAGGCTCCCCCTTGGCTGGCATTATCTCTTGCACATATCTCTGCTGAGCAGTGGATGGCTCGGGCTCAGATCCTTCTTTTGGTCTACCCGCAGCACAGGTTGATTAGAATTTAAGGAAACGGTTTTAAATAATGCACCTGTAAATCACAGTGCATTTACGTTTTAGGATTAAACAGAGCAAACGAGCGATCAAGTCAAATAAGGTAGTTGGTCTCAAATTCCAAATCAACTACAAAAGGGATAATAAGGTATGGAGATTTTAGATTTTTAGATATTTCAGAACCTGCGACTCGCTCACACAAAGACATAATCTGTTTGGATTGTGTTATGTTTTTTTATGCTAGTAATTTCAAGTTTTATTAATGGATCAAGAACAAGAATGTAGTACAAATATTGTACGATTTGTCCTCATCATTTTCTTATGTGCACACATAAAACTGAATGACATTGACAAATATTCTTCCCTTCATGCTTAGCATTGTAATAGGCAAACACTGGACTGAAGGAGTGACGTGTGGAGCATATAAAGGAGCTGTTAATGTCTGGTTCAGATAATTATTTGGCATAGCATTCACTTTAGTTGATTTGTTGATCGGGGGGTTGTAGCGGAAGCTTATGTAACATGAATTTAAGGATTGTCAGCCTTGCTTTGTGCTCTTTTGAAAGACTGGTCCCACTTTATGAAAGTGACAGAGAGTACTGGTATCACTGCAGCACCGTTTTAGTAAAGCAGAGAAAAAATGCAGACCTCACTCAGTATTCCCCTGCTGCTGAACCTCAGTGGTTGAAATGAACGCTCTGCCTTTTACCCAGTTAATGAGAGAACAATGCATAACACCAAGTGGGCATTTCTTATCTGCGGATAATGAAAGCTTAAAGCACTGCGTAGCCACGATGGTATAATTTTAGAGGTAAGGGGGGTCAGGGTTATCCAGGATGGTCAAAGAATGGCTCCAAAGGGATTGAAAAACTGATATATGCAAACTCCTTTTACGTGATTTGTTCTTGAGAAAAGCCACCAAGGGAGAACTTGACACACTTCAGGTATGAAATGCACAGCAGATTGCACTATAACTTCTGCTGATCCGACACAAAAGAGACAATTATCCAGCAACATCCTCCATATTTCTATGGCAGACTAGTTAGAAATAGAAATGATAAATGGAGGTTGCTTTTGGAAATTAAATTAGATTTTCTGCGTGCAGTTTGGCTGCCACCAATGATTGTTTTAATGAGACTTTTACTAATTTCCAATGCCTTGATTTAATACAAAAACGTGTTTGTGAAATAAACAAGATAACCGGAGGAGTATTCTTTTAATTATTTTATTTGCATTCATTTTTTCAATGAGCAACTGCCTCAGAAAGGCAGCTCTGTGCTTTGTGTCTGCACAAGGCATAACGTGATGTGATGGGATGGGGCTTAGTGAGAGGCAGGTCACAGTTAGTGCTTTCCATACTGATGTGGGTCAAATGAATCAATAGAGGCCCTACTCTGTACATTGCTGATTCAGATCATTGCAGCACTTCAAAAACCTAAAAGCCCATGGACCTTCAGGGTAAAAACAGCTTTTCTTTTATGTGAGTGGAAGGACCTGAAAGCCTTCTTGTGTCACTCTGTCTTACACACTTAAAGGTCCCACCATTAGACTCTTGACTACATATTCAGTATGTTTCAAGTCTAAAAAGTTTTTTAAATACTTTTGAAAAGAGAGGTGTGGGCTGTTGGATAGTGTGCCCATTAAGCAACCTCATTATTATGGCATGCAGAGTAATACCTGGACCACAGGGAGACCTTAGAATCAAGCACAATAAAGTGTACAGACATTGCCCTTGATACCACTGTAAACATTGAAATGGTCAATAAATAAGTGTGGTAATAATAATCATAATACCAATCTTTGTATTGTATCATTAGCAGCACTCAAGATCTCAGCATTCCTCTCGTACACCGCTTTCAATCCCCACAGTGCATGTTCGGGGTTTCAAAATCCTTCTTTTTGCCTGTGCTTTGTGTCTCACATTGTTGCTATTTGTACACTCAATACAAATAAGGTATTTGTTGAAGTTGCATAATTAAAACATGGATAATTAGAAAATGGTAATGAGTACTTTTGCAGATTTTAGGGTTGAATGCCGAGTGTTTGTTTTTTTTGTTCTTTTTTTTGCTGTTATTCAATATGCACTTTCATTTTGTTTGGTGCCCCAGTGATTTTACACTTTGGAGCAATGAATTTATTTATTTAAAAATGTGAATTTACAATGTCCTGTACTTTTTGCCTTCATTTTGTTATCTTTTCCTTCCTAGGATTATGCCACCATGCAGTTCTGTGCCAATAAACTGGATAAAAAGGATTTCTTTGGAAAGTCAGACCCATTCATGGTCTTTTACAGAAGTAACGAGGATGGCACGTGAGTTTTTCTCTTTTTTCTGTTTTTCGGTGGGTTGCTTAAGCCTGGTTGGTTAACCAAAAGGAAGGAAATCAAGGCTAAAAGCATTAGAGGAAGACCTCTTAAATTTACCTGCACTTGGTTACATCCATGCAGACACGGTACCATAATAAAGCAAAGATGTTGAGAGAAGATGTTTGCACTTGGTTTTAAGATTTTAAAATGTTGGTCATCTGCTGCAGCTTCACCATCTGTCACAAGACCGAGGTGGTGAAGAACACTCTGAATCCTGTATGGCAGCCCTTTTCCATTCCTGTCAGAGCACTCTGCAATGGAGACTATGACAGGTAAGTTGAGTGATGTACAACTGAGTCTTCTTAGCACACCCAAATTCACACACATGTCACGATGTGATTTTCCAGGGAAATTAAAAGCCACACAGATGTTTGGCTCTCCCTTCAAATTGCTGCAATACCTCAGTTTAATCAGTTTTTTATTTGCCTATAAAAGGGATAATTATGACAGGGATCTCTGATAATATGCTACCGTATCCAGCTCATCATTGATTTGCCTGCAAACTGCAAGAAGCTTTCCAAGAATTTCAGATGCCTTATCACCTTCCCCTGTGAGCGAAGGGCCTCGCAACACAACTGAGGAGAGAAGAACAAAGATGTGAAGGGGCAGGGAGAGTGGCTGCACTTGTCTTTCCGCACATGTTGACAGCTGGTTGGAATAAACAGAAGAGCCTTTATAAGTGTGTGTGTGAGAGAGAGAGAGAGTGGGAGAGAGAGCTTTATCATGAGAGTGTGTAGTCGCAGGCCATCACAAGAGCAAACATGTTAAACGCTGCCCTCTCCGCTACACCAGGTGTCAGCAAAGGTTATGTGCTGCAATCCTGTCTCTGCTCACCTGCCTGGAGAAGCTAATTGGGTCAGACAGATGGAGCAGAAGCATGAAAGATGTCTGATTCCCTTTGAGACTTTGATGGCAAGAGAAATCCACAGCAATTTGGGGTCTTGCCACTTTTCTTGCGAAAATATCAATGGTTCAAAGTGGAGAGTTTTTTTCGACGCAGTGTTTCCAAGCAGTGCCACATCACTTTAGAATTCTTTTTAAAATGTAGACACTCTTAGATGATTATGATTGATGGTTTGGATCCATAGTTTTAAGCAAATTCTGAATATCCTTTGCGTTTGCATAAAACCACAGAGTGGCTAGGCTTCAGCCAAGAGGGCTCACATTTCCCACTTCATATTTCCTGCTTGTGCATGAGTCTCGTGAAATTCTACAGCAAAGATGATAATGATGAAAAAAAGGGGGAGGATAACCCACTCAGAGTCTCTTTGCAGCACACATCTCGCAGCCTTCCTTGTGTGAATCTGGTAAAACTCTTGTAATCACCGTGCTCCATTAGTGATGAGAGAGTAAAAATTTTCTTTCCCCACTCAAGCAAGCACTGTGGAAGTGAAACTGATTTAAGGACTGGGAACAAAGTTAACGATATGCTGTAGGGCTCTCCCTGCACCGTCTTATATGAATGTTGTCTCATCCTTTGGGAACCAGCTCTGCATTTCAAATAAAGTTGGATGCTCCTTACTTTGTTGGTCATACACCCAAAAAATAGTCATTTTCTCTCAGAGTATTTGGTTGTCTTATATAGTGTTTCAGTAATTAACTGGGGAAAAACTGTTAACAGCAAAGATTCACAGTAGACTGACCCAATCATCTCTTCACACAGCGCATGGATTTTTTAAAAGGTGTGCAAGCAATGCAGACAGAATGAGTTCAGGTCTGAATTAAGGTGCAGGCTTGTGTCATTCTGCCTCCTCCTCGACCCAGAAACACATGATTGACAGTAGCTGATTGGGACTCCCTGGGTTGGGACAGGGAGTCGCTTGTTTTTTGCATCCGATCAACAAAACACTTTCCCTATTATTAATATGTTCTCATGGGCTAATTGTTTAAGCATTCTTGCTTTTTTATTTTAAAAAAGTTAAAAGTAAAAAAAAACTTTACAAAGCTTTGTACACAACTACCAACAGGTAGACCATTCTTTATTGTAGACCATTTTCCTTTTTTAACATGAATCTACGAAACCTTTGTCCCTGACAGAGGAAAAATGGATTGCTGGGTCTCATTAATCTATGCTTTTTCAAGGAGGGACTGAATTTGTTTAGCTACATATTGTGTCACACATGAAAATGCAGAAGTGGAACAAGAAGTTGAAATTGATTCGTGGCTGTTGTGCCCTGGAGCTGACAATGTGAGGGTTGAAACATAGGCAAAATTGGCCCCATCTCCTGTGTGCTGACACATGTCAAACTGGAACACAATGTGAAAGAACTCTGAAATGTGAGGTTGAGTGTTTGACATGTGGGTAATTAGAAGGAGGAACAGCATTTGTCTTAGAAGAAATCAGTCCAGAAAACTTGTTGGAGACTCAAACAGAAAAGTTTTATGGGATTAATAACTGCTACAGTTGAATTAAAAAAATGTTTTCATTCAAAAAAATTGGTCTTGTTACTAATAGATTGTTACTAAAATTTGTTGTGTGGATATTCTTAATCTCTAGTCGAAAATTTGTGATAAATACTTATCATCTTAGTAAATCTTGAGAAAAATGTGTTCTTTTTCTGCCAGCTGTGTTTGATCGTATGATTGAGCTTACATAAAAATTTTGCTTTAATACCATGTTTCTGTCTTGATGTCATGATTTAGACGGAGTCTAATCTCATGAGGGCAATACAGTTTGAAGCTCACATAATTTGCTCGCTCAAACATTTTCCTGTTTTCATTGTTTTTCATAGGTCGATCAAAGTGGAAGTGTATGACTGGGACAGGGATGGCAGGTATAGGTGTTCTCATTACTAGCATGATTATATTCAGATTTTATACTACTGTTTGAGACTTTTGTCAAGTTGTGTCCCTTCAAGCTGTGTCGTAACGGGTGTTCTAGACACGGGTGTTCATGTATCTGGATGAACTGTGATGTAATCCTATGTCTTCCTTCAACAGCCATGATTTTATTGGTGAATTCATCACTAGTTACAAAGATCTGTGCCGGAGTGCCAGCCAGTTAAACGTGTATGAGGTGAGTGAAGATAAAAGCCTCCCTTTTTTCTGGCAGAGCGCAGGGGATCTTTATGTCAGTCATGGGTGTTGCTGCACTTTTCAATGAGACTGTTGTGCAGAGCTTTTTCACATTTTCCCTTTGTTTTTTGCTGCCTAAAAGTAGAATTCAGGACAAGATGCAAATCTGACCTATTTTTATCTGCTCTGAAGAAATGATGAATCCTTTAATTCTGCAGAATGTTTTTCTGCATTTATCCATTTTGCATAGCAAAGGAAGCACAACAAGATAATTGTCACCGGAAAACACATCACCAAATGGACAGGCGTTGCAATTATTCTGCTGTGAACCAATAAAAAAAAAACTTAGACCCATCTCTGGTTACCACTAGGAGAAAACAACTTGCTCGGTGGGTCAACAAGGCCTTGTTAAAAGGCAGGAAACTTTTTAGGTCTTCTTTGTTTAGGCTGAACTGTTACTATCTGAGATAAACCTTACCAGTCCTTAAGAATCTGACCGGTGAAGAGTTAAAAACAGCATCCAGGAAAAGGTTAGATAGTTTGAAAGGGAAAAGAAATAATGCAATGGGTTTGTTTGACAGAGCGAGTGAAATGTAGAACTGCCCGACCAAACTGCTGAAATGGCTAAAGAAATTCCATCACCTCTTAAGAAATGGCACTGTTTAACATAAGGGTCACCCTCTTCAGTAGGTCAGTGAATATGACTCCTCTTCATAAGGAACAAAAACATGTATTTTTCAGTGCTGACAAATAAAAAAGCTGAATGGATGACAGACTGCAATGTTACGCTTTTACCACGCTGACCCTGATATTCATGGAGCATACTAATGTTAGCTCTGCAAGTGATGATGACAGACTCATAACAGACGCAGTCGTGATGGTAAAATATGTTTCTGTAGCATAACGTGAGCTCAGAGTGGTGGCTAATGGATGCAGTGCTGTGAGGCATCGTCTTTGTAAGAGAAGTGCATGAGTAGCTTTAGAAATGGCAGAGGCAGAATGGAAGAATAGAAGAGAGGGAAGAGAAAAGATATAGGGTGACTAACTTTAGTATACGGCACAGGTTCCTCCTGGCTGATCCTTTATGTGTGGGCAGCAGAGATGTCTGACCATGCTATAATCATTCAGCTTATTGGCTTATCTAGATTTTTTTTGTATGCCAACATCAGACACTACTGTATGCCTGCGGAATCCCATTCAACTTAATTCATTTAGCATGTAGTCATGATTTTTTTTTTATCAGTGAAAAGCCTCTCAAAGCAAGGTGGTGTGTATGTAGGATATAGAGTAGATGGTTATAAAAATCCTCCTGAATAATCTGCGACTTGCTGCGAGGCATGATCAATGCTATCACTCTCACCTACTGCAGTTATTGGATTCATTCCCTATGCTCCATTATCCTTGCAGACATGGAATAAGAGGACAAAGATGCCTTTATTACTTGCCCAAAGGTGAATACAAATAATTGTGCTGCAAGTTTACACTGTCATTATCCTTATCTGTCCATGTACCAGGTGGTGAATGCTAAGAAGAAACTAAAGAAAAAGAGATACATCAACTCTGGGACGGTGAGTGTGAGATCTAAGATAAAAGAAAATCTCCAGGTGCACTCACACTCCTGCCCCTTTGCTTTTGTATTCATTAGAAAGTTTCCACTAAGTGGATTGAACAAGGCAGTTCTGCTCTGTTTAATGTTCTTTTTCCACTCTCGGTGTGACAGTCACGATCAGAGAGTAAATCTAAGTGGTGGGGAAAACATTCACTTGACTTCGAATGACCTCAAGTGGTTGAGAATCAAAGTCTGTAAAAATGCATTAAAAGAATATTGGTCGTGCCCTTTTAATAAATCTATGATTGATGTTTATAAGTGAGCCACAGCTTTGTTAATGCTCTTGTTGAATGCTGCGGCTTGGTAACTGAAAACTGTGATTAGTGGTCCATCATGTTGATCATCCGTCAGTAAGCAGCCACGTTAATGCTCAGTGATCGTAAAACTAATGGGCTACATGGGGATCCTGTGTGAATAAGTCATTTTGTGGGTGGCTAGCTCCAAGGTCAGTGTTAATGTGTAGATTGTAGCTGTTGTTTAATTGAATTACCAAGCTTGAGTTCATCTGTTTGGGTATTTTCTTCCCCCCAGGTGTCCCTGTTGTCATTCAGTGTGGAATCTGAGCACACCTTCCTGGATTACATCAAAGGGGGGTAAGTTCAATTATCCCCTTGTGCACCCAATATTGTAATTACCTTTGTTTTTTTTAAGGGGAAACATTTATTGAACTCAACTACCCTTCAAATATACGTTTTTGTGACTGAATATAAAAAAGGAAAGAAATATGATTCTGTGAGTAGTTCTGACAAAAAAACGTATTTACAAAAATGATTACACAATTTCTTCTTTATTATTAGGATTTTTCCAGTCTTTGTAATCATAAGTTTTAACTCTAAACACTCAATCGGCCACTGTCATCGCAATTTGCCATGCTTATCAAACACAACATGAACTCTGCATGCTCCTCTTTTGTAGCCATCGTCTGAGTAAAGGGGTCAAGAGCTTTGTGGTCCTTTGTTTATCTCCAAGGAGTGTTGAGCTTCCTGTTGTTACACACGTCACAAGACAAAAACAATCTAGTGAAAGCCTTACCACATTTTTTTGTTTTGTTCCATAGCCTCAAGTGCTTATTGTTTATATGTAGTTCTTTGAGACGATACAATCATCAGCCTCTGCCTTCATCTATTTCATTTTCTAACCAGTACTTCATGATGTTTTGGTGGTGCGGGGCACAAAACAACAAATGGATGAAAATGAGTGCTACTGCAAAGCGTGGGGGTTTGCTTTTGGCCACAAATATTTCCTTTGTACAACCAAGTTTTGTCTTTTTTTCTATGAAAAAAAGACAATACAACTCTGCAGTTGCAGCATTTTCAGAGAAATCTGCACATTTTGTGGTAGGAAAAAACACAGACAAACACTTGACTGAAGCTTTTTCTTTAATTTCACTACTACCAGTTTCAGTACGGGGGACATTAATGACTGTTAGGTTCAGTGCTCTCTCCACTGACATTAATACATGAGAAATTAGGCAGAGAAAGAGTACACGCACATACAGTAGCTTTAGATGCAACCATTCGCTCCACTGATTCTTCGCGTTTCCAGACTCTTCTCCTGCTCAGGAGAACACAAGCACCCTTACACATTTTCTTCAGTTTGAATTAATACATTTATGAGTGGCCTTGAATTCGTCACACATGAACGAAGTGTGGCTTCAAACGAGATAATGGCGTCATCAGCCAAAACTTCTGTGCAAATGAATATGAATGATTATGATGAAATATGAAGAAGATCTGAGAGCTTAATTAAGGGCGGACAACCTGTCACATGTGGGAATGTGTCTCAGTGGATCAGCAGCTGCCCTGATTTCACATTTCCGCTGTTTTGGTAGTGTCCCAGATCTGTCCTCTTGGTCTCTCTCCAGCTGACACAAACCAACACACATACAGTACATACTGTAGCCACATATGTACACATTCTCAATGCCTTCAATGTTTGACTCAGTTTGTCCATAGACACTGTAGAAAGCGTAAAGGAGAGGAAAAGTAAGAGAGTCTAAGTGGAACATGCAGCAAATGTACTGAACTGTTAGGTTTCCCTCAAACTAAAATTCCAAATTCTTTCAGCAACAATCACATCATGGATATTATTTAAGTGACGTTGCCTCTTCAAGAGTTCCACAAACTGTGGCATGTGTGGTAAAGAATCAGTGCTGGCACATATTTTACACTGTGAGCCTGGATTCAAAACTCCTGAATCAGACTGGACATTCTTTATCCAGTCATTTGTATAAAATATAACACAGCTTTTTAGCCACCAGATTAAGTCAAAAGTGGCATGCAGCTAAAATACACATATCAGACTGAGACTTTATCACAAATGAACCCAGTGAGAGGTTTGATACATTATGCAGTATATATTTTTTTGTTGTCACAAACAGCTTCTCATCACGCCTGGGAGAGGAGCTAATGAAGGGCTCCTATTAAAATATGAGAAATCTAAGAAAAAAAACTCTTTCAGCCACCTGTGTACTGCTGTGTATTGGTTTCTTGGCTCCAAAGAAACCACAGAGTTAAGAGTTGTCTGGAAAAAATGCAGATATGGTCTGTGTCACATAGTTCTGTCTTTCTTTGTAGTCTAATACTCACAGCAATTCTGTTCTGGTTTAGGATCTTGTCTGCGTTTATTAGATGGAGCAATATATGAACCATTATAGATGATCACATAAATGGTCTGATATGCAATTCGAACTTTCTGTTTAGATGGGAAGGATCTCTTAAGATTCAGAAAATCATTAAAAAAGTGACTGACACGTGAATCTTTTTTTACAAAATTGATCTTTCTGAAAAATAGTTAAAAACAGTTTGATACATTTTTTAATACAAGAATACATTTAATAATCTATTCAATTAATTATTTTTCATGCCATTTTCATAATGTAGACAATTCAGTCATAAATCACTTTAATGTCATTAGTCAGAAAGGGAAAACAGAATTTATTTCATGACAGACAGATTGTCTGCTTTCAGCAGAAGGCATGACAGACAGATGGAGAAAATGAACAAGATTAAAAGTGCCAACAGTGGAAGAATCCTGTGCTTCCACCACGGGAGAGAATAACGGTCTCCATTAAAAATGACACATCAGATTTCCACTGTTTTCTTAAGAGGGCTTCAGAAAAGTATCTGCTGATTTGGTGAATTTAATGAATGAATTCTTTTTTGATATACAGTCCTGAATATTTCTCAAATCAGCACAATGTAGAACATAATTAACTATGCAGTGCTGTCCTCAATGTCAAAATGTAGAAAAGCCAAAGAGACAACTTTTTTCAGTTTGGATTATTTTGAAAATGAGTAGCTTGAAAAACCAGTTTATCACCAGTTTAGTGAACATGTGCTACAAACATGGAACACAATCTTTCTTTAAACAGTTTTATTGTTGTCTCTAGTTCAGTCTGTTGTCTAGGTATCTCACAGCCTTTTGGTTGGATCATGAAAAGTACATTGTGTTTCATCTTTGATTCCACAATTATGCTGTATTTGTTTGATGACAATAAGTTTGAAAAACAGTATGAGTGCTCACAGTCACAGGAGTCATTCAATTCCTGATGACCATGGTTAGATTTTTGGTTTCCACCCTTGAATACTGAACCTCACCTCTCCTCCAGTGTGTGCATGTTACAGAAAAAGCTCTCCACAGAGTAGGCTGAAAGCAACGTGTGCTTTCATACAAATGTGTACATGAATGCAATTTGTGGTGTAAAAATCTTTACCACATTTGAAAAATGTCATGTTATTTAATCCATTTGTCACTTTCCTGCATAAAAACAGTTTGCTTAAAAATAAAAAATCTAATCTTGATTTTATGTATATGGCGACAAAATCTAGATCACTTTTAGATTTAATTTATCATCTTGTTGGTTGAAAGATTTCATTTTTAAAAGCCCCTAAGAATATAAATCAAATCAAATTGAAAAAGATAAGCACATGAATGCCTGGTAACACCATCATTCAGACAGACTATGAAGGATATAAAAGGCAGCGTGAGCAGTGAGCTGTATAAAACTGCTCTGAGGTGCAACTTTGATATTTTAGATCTGTGCTATTGATTTCCCTCGTTTCGTGAATGTTTGCCTGACTGCTTTTTCTCTAAGAGGTAATAGCTTGGACAAAGTATTTAAAATAATTTTATAAATGAAGGGGAGTTAGCATTTTCTTTTCCAGGCCCAACATTACACAATGTAGAGTTTCAAAGTGAAGAATTTCTTTTTTATTAATTCTCATAAGCTTTCAATTTTTGCAGAGAAATACACAATACATATATACAGATATACAAAAGCTATTCAACTCCCAAAGGCATACACTGCTACGATTCATATAGATAATTCAAGATTTATGTTCTTTTAAAAGAAAACCTCCCATAAGATTTGTCATATAATGGGTTTATAGTGTGAGATCATATTAAAGTTTGATTGTTTTTATCCCACAATATGCATTTTTTTTCTCCAAAAGAAAACATTAATGATTTAACATGTATCTATTTTTAATCATTAGATATAGGTTATCTTTGTTGTCTGCCTGCAAAGTGGCGGTTTTAACAGGGTCACACAATTTATTTTTTCTTCCTTCATATCAAGTAATTATTTCAGACATGGAGGTTTTACTCGGCTGTGACGTTAACTTCATTCCTCTGCCAAGTATTACAGCTATGTTTGTTTGTCTTCGTGTGTGCCATGATTTTGCTCAGCTTTTGGAAAACAGAGATAGGGTAGGATAGAGAGGGATTTCACACTCCTCGACGATCCTTTTCATTGTTAGATGAGCAGAAATTTGGCACCCAAATTGTTGATATTCTTGCCTGATCCATTCCATGCTAAATTTCATGCTAATTTTCATAATGTTTACAGACAATATATATATATATATATATATATATATATTTTATACTCAGGATTTCAAAGACCAAGAAAGTTTAGATAGTTTGATTTTTGTTTTGGATAAAGATCCATATCTTTTACACATAGCTGAGTTTTGAATACTCAGAATTTGTAGCGTGGGATAAGTCAAAATGTCTTGTAGTCTTTACCAATAAATGATGCTAAAGGTCTCAGATGCGGCAGCATGGTGGTGTGGTGGTTAGCACCATCGCCTCACAAGAGGCAATAGGGTTCTGGGTTCAAGTCCCCAGGGGAACCAGGACCTTTCTGTGTGGAGTGAGCATGTTCTCCCAGTATCTGCGTTGGTTTTCTTTGGGTTCTCCGGCTTCCTCTCAGCGTCCAAAAACCTGCATGTTAGGTTGACTGGACATTCCAAATTGCCCTTCGGAGTGAGCGTGAGTGGTTGTTCATCTTTGTGTGTCTCTGTTTGGGCCCTGCGATGGACTGGCAGACCGTCCAGGGTGTACCCCGCCTCTCGCCCATTGACTACTGGGATACGCTCCAGTCCCCCCGCGAACCCATTTGGGAATAAGCAGTTCAGAAAATGGATGGATGGATAGTCTCAGATGCAAAGCATTTCAGAGACCGTATGTGTAAAATAGGATAAATATGGCATTATAGAGTTAAACAAGATACTTAAACATATGTAGATTTTTTTCAAAACAATTACAGTATTGAAGGAAGGGTACAGGCTGTTTTGGAGGCTGTTATTTTAGCTGAGAACAAAACATAGATCTGACTTTATGAGACCCTTTGAGAGTGATGAAAGATGCATTTCCTCCTGGCCAGTTCCAGGAGGTAATGACACGTTAATTTGTCCTTTGAGCTATACACCACTCAAAGAAGTAGAGAAAATGAAAATGAGAGAAAAATTACCCTCTCTCAAAGGCTATAGATTTGAGCATAACAAGGATTAAAATAGCATCTGCAGATGAATCCCTTGTTGTTTGCAAATGAATGTACAAAGCAAACAATACTGCGGCATCAGTCGTTATTATTCCACATTGACTTTCCCCCCCCCCCCGTCTCAAGGTAATTTGTACAGCTCTTTAACAAATCCCAACTATGGCTGGGTAGGTGGAGAAAAACCTGAACACTGTCATACAGCACAGACTTGGCACCTTCAAAGGTGGAGTAAAATGTGATTGGTGTCAGAATATTCAGCCAGAATCACCGATCCTGACATCTCAGTGGTTTCATAAAATAAAACACTGACAGACCCTAAAACAGAGGGAGGAAACTGTGGCAAAGACCCAAAGATGCTTTTAACAAACCACTGATAGATTTGTACATGCTTGTTTAATGACATTATTGTTTAAAGCATTGAATGTTCTTTTACTTGTGAAAAATGTTACTATATTGTGGTCTGCACTTAATTGCTAAAAATAGAGTGGTGGATGCATATGAATATAATCAACGAAATGTAATAATTCATTTTAAATGAAGGAAAACTGAGATGTAAGATAGCAAATTGGAGTTGCACTGTACATTATGGGAGCCTTTTAGAAGCACAATGGGATAGTTTAGTTGTCACCTGAGCCAAGAGCAACTTAAAAGTTTTATGATATTAAAAGTAGAGAGAAAATATATGCACTGAACCCAAAATGGGAGCTGGTTCCAGAAGAGAAGAGTCTGATAACTTGCTTCTCATCTTGCTTTTAAAACTCACAAAACCACAAGTGTGCACTCTTAGAGAAAAGTGCTCTATAGGGAAAATGTGGAACTTTGAAATCTTTAATATATGAAAGAGCTGGGCCCTTAAGAGATTTATATGTGAGGAAAAAGATTTTAAATTCAGTTCTGGAAATCACAGATAACCACTGAAGAGAAAGTAATACTGGAGAAGTATGATCTCTGCCTTTTTCACCAGAACTTTCTCTGCAGCTTTTTCAATGTCAAGTATGGGACAGTTGTGTTTTATCTGTATAGATATATACATTTTTGCGTAATTCCCCCCTGCATGGATCCAAAAACCCAAATAATATGTTCAAACCTCAGTGAAAAGATTTTGTGTTATCTCAAATGCAGCACTAATACATTTTAGGACAAGAACAGACACAAATCCATTATCTGAGGCCATGGGGATATTGTTTCAGATTTTTTCAGTACATGAGAGCTAATGTATAACATTTTAATAGGGAAAAACATTGTTGATGAATCTTGCATTAAAAAATAGATAAAATCATAGACATTAACAGCTAAATTCTGTAATTGAAGTGATCTAAGGTTGAACCTTTCAGCAGTGAGTGTTTTGTTTGTTGACTGGCAGTCTTTTTAGTCTTTGACTTAAACTGGGAGCTAAATATTAAAACACAAAACATAGGAATCAGAAGGTTTCAAATTGAGGTAGCATGCCAACGTAACAGTCTCCCTTTGTCAGCTGAGTGGTCCGGCTCAATGCTGATTAATGAGCTGAGGTCCGTCTCTGCTGGAGGAAGCCGCTATTATCTCTGATGCTGTGCCTGTGTGAATATTTGAATGAAGGTGGAACAAGAGGAGGCAATCAGTGTAAATCACAATGAAAGGGCACACACTTTGATCTAAGCTCCTTTCCTATACTCTTCATTTCTCTTTTTTGGGATACATGCAAATCTACCAGAGGTTTTGAGCTATGCTCTAATTCTTTTTTAGGTTTTGGTGATCATTATGTTGATGAGTAAAAATTTGTCCACTGGATTTGGGGGAATTGCAGAATATATAAAAGACCTTACATTTCTTATTCATCACACGACAAAGACCCCTTCAATGAAGACAAAGAGAAATGGGGTATTTTATGTTGGCCATTATAGCTACAAGTTTGTATAAATTGTAACTTATTAGCACAGGTGGAACATGTGGTATATTTGTCTCACAGCTCTGGTGTTCTCATGGCCAAGTCTTATCATAAGCAAACATATACACCAAAATGTGTGGTTGTGCACTTGTTTCTTCTTATTTTGTTTTTCTTTGCCATATTTTGATAAAGACTGTATCCACCAGCCAAAGAAAGCATTTGGGTGTAAAAGCTATATAAACAGCCAATATGTCAAACTGCTGTCTTCTCCCTCCTGTCTGTCTCTGTATGCATGTGCTATAAAAATGCACAGCCTAATTAGCAGCAAATGTTCAAATAAAATCGGCTGCAGCTTCTCACAGCTTTGGGGAGCAACCACAATGAAACAACCTGTAATCTCTATTTCTTTTCATTTTCTCTTTTTTTCTTTGCTGGTTTGATCTGCAGCTGGCTATAGTTTTTTATTCTCTTTCTGAACACCTTTAGATCATTGCAGTGTTTGAATATTGATTACTGTATTTGCAATAGTAATCACTTATTTTGTTCCAAGTAAGCCAGAAAGTCTCGCATGACCACGATAAATAAATGTCTCATTTTGAAAGTAATAGATAGTAAGAATCAGTTTATTTCTTGTGTTTTGCCATATAATTGTCTGTGACTGTGAATAAGCAGATGTGAAAGCAGATCATAAATGTGAATAATGAGCACAGATGGGGCATTTTTTCGCAACTCGTCTTATCATGTGAGACATACAACAGCAAACACATGAAGCTTTCGGCTTTGATTGTTCCTGCTTCTCTTTAGTTAATATTTTCCCTGTTCATCTATTTCAGAACTCAGATTCACTTCACTGTGGCCATTGATTTCACTGCATCAAATGGTGAGTATTTCGACTGCTGTTACCTTGCTGTGCTCTCATTTGACATCGGATGTACAACACAGTCATTTTCTATCGATTGAAGAGGGGCCAGACTTTTTTATTTTTCTAAGTGTTCAGTTGTATAGTTTTTTTTTCTCATAAGTGTCCACATAGTCAATAAGGTACATTTAATCTTGGTCAGACTAAGCCAGAGTAATAACCAGAATCTAGTGGAGCAGGGAAATATGCTATTTCCTGCAGTGTGTTACATAAATATGCACGTCTGACCTCTTTTTATAACATCCCCTAACTTTAACGGAAACACACACAGCCACCCAGCTCTGGTGCTACTTTTATCTTGCATCAGACTTGTCATGACAGGAGTTTCTTATTTTACTTTATTTATGAACACCACATATGTATGCCTTAGTTTATTGTGAGTCTTGATTTAAGTATCTTTGAGCCACATCTCACAGACACCTCATCTCAGCTAAAGTGCCTTGTTAAATTAAATTAAGCCAAAGTTTAGAGGATATAGAATAGTTAATTCCCATTATATGTTTGGCGTCTCTTCGATTTGGCATGAGACTCGTATAGAAAGGATCCATATTTCATACAGTTGGCCGATTAGCAATTAGTAAACATCCTGTTCATGTCTCTCCAAGTCCATATCACAGTACTGATCCAATTAGATAAGTTTGAGATTTATGCTGAATATTGTCTCATCTGTTTTGTCTCTGTGATGTTCCAAATAATGTGGATATCTAGATACCTAGAGCCCCATCTCTGAATCAATACATTAGATTTAGCACCAGTTTGTTCTCTGATTCTGAGTCTGTGTGTCACTTTTCACCCCTCATTCTGAATTTCCTTGTTTCCAAAGGAAATCCATCCCAGTCAACTTCACTGCACTACATGAACCCTTATCAGATGAATGCCTATGCGATGGCCCTAAAGGCTGTTGGAGAAATCATTCAGGACTATGACAGTGATAAGATGTTTCCAGCCCTTGGATTTGGTGCTAAGCTGCCCCCTGATGGGAGGGTATCCCATGAGTTTCCACTGGTAAGTAAACAATTGGATTATTTTCAACACAATGATTGTCAGTCAGAAGCAAAATTTGGGAAAGGTTCATGTGTATCCAAGTAAAAAAGGATTAAGGCTCTCACAGGAACTAAGTTTTGTGAAGGCAAGTCTGGGTAAGCATATGTTCATGTGCAATATGAATGCCAGCCTTTTAACATAAATGCAGCTACACCTCCAACATGCATAATTCAGAGAGACTTCTGTTTACCCTTTATAGTGCAAATTAGGTTCTGTAAGGCTGAAAGATTCTTAAATCAATTTAGCTTCTCTCAGCCAGCTAATGTGCGCTGGCGGCTGCAAAGTACAATCTAATGAGGAGTGTTTCTACTGGGTAACGTCTGCATCACTCCATGTTTTCATTAGAATTAATAAATTAAGGTTCATTGCACCATATAATTGAGGCCTCATTCTTTCATATGCTAGTTGTGTCCGTTTGCTTAAAAGGAAATGTACATTCCTTGGTAGAATATTGATTGATCGATCTTCTGTGTTGCCAAGAAAGTTAGCATTTTAAGAAAAGTTCAGCTTTTTTTTAATCGTAAACCATTTTTTTAGACAGAGGAAGCTGCTGCATCCTTTGGTTTGTGTAGTTGAAATAGAAGAAAGCGAATCAGTGCCTGTTAGCCTGAGTTTTTGTTTTGTATTTTTGCCTGTATTATTTCTGCGCTTCCATGCAATCATTAAAATCTATTTTGCTTGAAAAAAGAATAGATTCAAGCTATATAGTAAATTGTTACTTGGTTCATCCTGTTATTGTTCCTTCTGTGAGGGAGCTGATGAGTGGAGTGGGCACAAACTTGCTCTTTGTAAAATTGGATAGTGTGAATCAACAAGGTCTAGAGGAAGCTGAACTGAGAAGAGCAGTATCATCCTTGATTAGCACTTGTGTAAAAGCACTGTCCATAACACAGCAAAAACAAAATTGGTGTCACATACAAACAGTTGAGGAAATCACCTTGTGTTATCTGGCCAGATCTTTTACAGAAAAATAATTTGTGTCAATCAAGTGACTTGAAACAGGTTTTGAGTTTTTGCAATTGAAATGACTACACAAACTGAAATGAACATGAGATGCTCTGCTGAGTTATTTCCAAACCTGCCAATATGTATTATATTCATTGGAATTTAAGGTTCTAAGTGTAGCCAAACATTAACCAGTTAATGACATTTGCAAAGCTAAAAACGTTTTTTGCTTTTTAAGATGGGGGGGGACAATTGATCTAAAACATTATTTTGTAAATGTAAAAAATAACAATGTATAAGTGAGATGGTCTCAATATTTTCTTGACTTACGTTCACTGCTGCTGTCTCATGGAATGACCGAAAGAATCTTGATAACTGTTTAAAGTTTTACTGTCAGGCTCAGGTCTGACTACATATTTATGGGTATTTTCTTAACCAATAATGCATTTGTTTTTTTCTTTTTTGACTGTTTTTAGAATGGCAACATTGAGAACCCATACTGTAACGGCATGGAGGGGATTCTTGAAGCTTACCATCAAAGCCTTAAGACAGTTCAGCTTTATGGACCCACCAATTTCGCTCCCGTCGTCAATCATGTGGCAAGGTATGAACACGTGTCTGTCTGGGTGAACATATCTGAGCATCGACACATTTTCTCTGGAGGTCAGCCTGTAAATAAACCTTAACAGGCAACAACATAAATCCGAAGTATTAGTCAGTGAGCTGTAGTGTCTCTGAGACTAAGCAGTGCCATGGTGGGAAAAACAAACAATCAGATGAGAAAAAAAAGGCAGACAGGCATATGCGGAGTCAGACACTTTAAAGTATAGCGGCAGTATGATTTATTTCAATATAAAATGGGAGGGAAATGGGAATATGAGCTGCTGTGACTCACAGAGGACATCGTTTAAGATGATACTACATGCTTAGATGTGACCCACTATTCAGTTAGACAGACCCACCATTCAGCTAGAGAGTTTCACCGTGGATGGGAACTACTTGTGTGCAAATGTCATGGCTCTGTAAGTGAATGTAAAGATTGTATCTGCAAACTGCACATTTAATGTACAGCTGAGGTGATTTGTGTAATGAAAAGGTGACGATCTGTGTACTGAATGGTCAGTCTGATATTGGGAACTGAAGGATTTATTGTATCTTTATTTATTCTATTTTTTATGCATTTAAATAATTTTTAGAGTTGATAGAAATAGAAATAGAAAACTATCAGAAATATGAACTGGGCGGACATATTTAAACAGAAAACATCCAGCCATAGACCTTAAATCACTGCTAAGTAATTAACTATGAAGGTTGGCTTTTTAGAAAGACTTTAAAAGCATAGTTAGGCTCTCAAATGACTATAATTTGATATTGATATTGAGGGAAAAAAACTACTAGAGCAAAAACTCCAGTGGCTTTTTTTTTCATTTCAAGAGTAGAAGTCATAGATGAAAGTCTCAGAAGGATTTTATTATAAATAAATATTACATTATGATTGTGGATGGTCTCAGTTTGAACACTTTAAACCTTTCATTAAGTTAAGATTGTGCCGTCTCTGCCCAAAGGGGTGTTTGACTATTGTATCAATAAAAATAAATTGTTACTGACTGTAAGAGACATTTCCTGATTCAGGGGCCAACTTAATTACCTCTTTTTTTAACAAAAAAGACAAAGACATCCATATATACAAAGACTTTAACAATAACTGCCTTATAGAACATGCAGTGTTTTTTAAAAGATACTAGCTGTAGCTCTTAAGGGGAAGTGAACAAACTCAGCATGGCTGCCTTTTTTTCAATCAAAATGCTGATAGAAAAATGCATAGACATTCAACCGTTAAGACTCTTTGGACAAATGTGTCCACAAAATTGATTAAATTAATACTTTTTTAAGTTTATACTGAAATGGGTCTTTTTTTTGCATCAAAGGCCAAATTCTGACAAATGCATGATGTTAATGTCTGACATAATGGGGGACTGATAGTGTTTACTAAATGTACAACAGGGTGATAACTACTTGATGATCTCACATTTGCTCATTTTGTGCTCTTTGTTGGAATTTGTTAAACACCATTAATTTTGTGCCACATTTTCTACTCTGATAACCTCCCCAACCATTTGCAGTCAGGTCTTTATTGTTGTAAGGGAGCTGACGCGTAAAAAGGCATCTTTAATTTTAGAACTCCATTCATTGCTCTGGCTCCTGTCGCTGACGGGTTCACCCTTTGATCAAAATGTCAGCGTTTCGCTGTCAAATTGATCAAACTGGGGATGAGAGTGAGGGCTCATCTCTGACCTGTCCTTGGCTTTTGCAATGATCAGCTTTGTTTTTTTTCTTCTTTTCTGGCTCATCTAACATATCTGCTCGGATAAGTGTGAGGCAATCAATAATGTGCTGAAAGAATAAGACTACTGCACTTGCATAAACAGTTTGATAAATTATTCATAGTTCAGAAAGCGATGGGCAGCTGAAACTATGCCACACTCACTGAGGCGTCTCTGATGGGTTAGTAATAGCGTCTTGATAGACATCTGAGATGTAAAGAACTATACAGCCTATTTCAGTTCTTTACATGCCTACATTAAGCTTTTATGTATCACGCTATTTTTGGCACATATCTCCCACATTGTGGTCACTTTTCTGTCAGCCACAGTTTAGAGCAGGGCCACGAACATGCAGCTTTTCTCAATATTCAACTGTTCCAACTGTTCATTTTATGCAGGTATGCAGCAGCCGTCCAGGATGGATCCCAATACTTTGTCCTGCTTATCATCACCGATGGAGTAATATCAGACATGGCTCAGACCAAGGAGGCCATAGTGAATGTAAGTGTGGCTTCAATGCTAGCTGTTGCTTTGAAGGTTCTATAGCCAAGTGGTGGTACCAGATTTGTGGGACGCTTTTACCTCCAATGGTATCACTCTCATGTGCTTTGATGCTCTGTCCAGTTTCTTTCTCACTAAGAACTTCGGGGAACAGTTTGGCTCTGCTTAGATAATCTCTGTTGTCTACAGGTTAACCGCAAAGACACTGACCCCTTTTTGTTGAACATTTGTGGTTTGTTGCACACTCTGCATGCTGTAATTAGTGTGTCATAACACTGCCATTCTTGTAATGTGTGTACAGTGGTAACATGACCACTCTGGAAAGACATCATCGACCAGGTACACCCTCACAGCAACGCAGTGCTCTGACCCCCAGCAGACTGGGTTTAAAGGGAATTTGCGACTGTTAATCAAACCATTCGAACAGCCACACCTTCCTTTTAAGATCTTGTCTGCTGCTCTGCTCTCTGCACAGCCTGAACCTTCAACAATTGGAGCCCAGCTTCCCACTTTCCCGCTTATAGAGCAAAAGCTTGGATGTCATGCTTTACTTTGCATTCAGCCTTTGCTCTGTAAAGCACACTGTCAACAGGAGTCATGTGAAAAACTCATCTCTGCATTAGGGCTTTCTGCTGCACTACCTTTAGAAATCTCTGTGTATGTATATATATTAATATATACATACACATAGAGAGATAGATAAATAGACTGGTTCAAGCCATACATTAATTTGTTTCATTAGATCATGCCTGCAGTTTTCTGTTTGCTGTCTGGACAGGACAGTGGCTAAAACTGTAACTTCTTAAAGTGAATATTTTCATTACATCTCTGCATGTACACTTTTTGTAAATTTGAGTTATTATTTTTTCTTTCTAACAAATTCTTTATCAAACCTGCAAGTTTATTTATTATTTATGAATTTACTGTACTCAAAAACACCTATCTTACGGCCAGATGTTACTTAAACCCAAAGAGAAAAACTACCAAATATGGTGAAGTGGGTAAATGTATTATGAATAATAAATTGTACATCTAATATGTTTCCATTTTAAAAAAATGACGTATGCACAAAAATGTGGAGTTGGGTTTTAGTTTGTCACTAAAACATCTTCTTTTAGTTTTAGTGAATAAATTGACTAAAATGACTTTGCATGTGTGGTGTTTTTTCTGTCTTTATGTCCCTGCACGGAAAGACAGCTATTAATAGTTCCAACTCATGTTGGCAAGATGGTTCTTGGGAGTCAGTGTGGATACATTGTGCATAGAAGAATTTGGCATTTGTGTCAAGTTTTCACACTGGACCCAAACTTAGGTTTTTCCTCTGTGGACAATTTGTACATTTGTAGATCGGACTATGGAAGAAATTATGTTTAACATCTGTTCTCACAGTGGGCATATCAGCAACATATTTCTGCTACTGGAAGCAGTAAACATCTATTAATGCTTGGCAGGATTTTTCAATTTTAGGTAAAATGTATTTGTTGGAGGATACTATGGTAATTAAAATCCACTTATATTGAGCAGAGAATTAAAAAAAACTTTGAAAAAATGTATTACACAACATTGTGTTCTCTATTGAAATGTATTATTCTGAGTGCATAAAAAGTCACATATTATCAATATGCATTTAATGCTATTCTCAGTCATTGGAGACTGTAGTCTATCCCAGTTTCCATTGGATGAGATGCAAGGTATTCCCAGGATGGGTCATCCTTCCAAGCAAAGCGTATGAAATGTTTTCCTGGTTCATTAATGATGAATAGTGAGTTTATTACCTAAGCTAGTGTTCTCAGTGTGTCACTGTAGTAAGAACAGTGAACAAAGGAGTAGGAGTTCAGTCAGACTGATGGAGGCTGCTCCCCTGAGTGACTCTACGGTATAGGCAAAGTAATGAACAGTGTAGTCTGAATAATTCACAGCTGAATGTAGCATCTTGTCTTCCGTTTATGGGTACTGTATTTGCTTGTGGGATCTGGTCTGATGGAAAAGGGGTAAATTGAACATACATTTTTTTTTTGGTGAAGTGAAAGGTGCGAGAAAAGAGTCAAGTGGAGCAAAAGATAAAATAGCAAAAAAGATGAAGGGAGTAATATTGACCATGAAGGATATGGTCCTCCTTAGTCTATTTACTCCTATCTGTGACAGCTTCTACCCCAGGGAGGTTTTTCCAGGAAGCTGACCCACTTTTGCTCTGGAAATTCATCTTTACCACAAGCAGACATCATTCATTGATGCCAGAGCTTTCACATTCTGCACATGAGTTCTGTGATCTAAATCCATCCATTTCACAGTACCATCTTCACAATGAACTTTCCCCATCAAACCTCAGGATACTTGGAGTTTATAGGAGGCTGGTTATGGAGTCTCTGTGTTTTGATGCTAAGTATTTGAAACTTCACTATATGTAAACGTCATGAATTAGTAATGCAAGGCTGAGTGCTGTGAGTAGGATTTCCATAAAATATAGGAACTTGTTTTGTATGATGTACTTTAAAGGTGCCCTGTAAAACTCACGTCTCCCTATTCTGACAGTGAGAGTCAATTCACAGATCCTTTTAATGGAATCTTATGACTGATACTGAAGGCAAACTGTTTGTCCTAGCTGTTGATCGCTTTCCTCATTTGGGAGATTTACAGCTTTTCTTAGACCATTTTTTCTTTCCTGCCATTTGTTGGTGTTGCCTTATCTCAGTCACCGCAGATTTTCTCCTCTTTAGTTCTGCCAAAGCAATCATAGATGGTTGATATAAAATACATCATATCTTGTGCACCAGCAGGCAAGAATCAGCACCAGATCTAAACTGTTATAATTTGCCACGCAGACACTGGAGGGGATAATGAGCACTGCTGGAATGAATTTGGCACGTCTTGAATGTAAAATACCTGTTTGTGTTCTACTCTCCAGTTTTAAATTGTGGTTACTGCAGTGTCAGCACAACCTGCAAAATGAGTCCAACGTTTGTTAAAATATTCAGTTATACTGAGGCTTTTGGGTTGCCTTTAAACGCCTGCACTGTAAAATGTACAGTGTTTTTTCACCCCTCCACTGGACAATGTAAACTTTGGAGCCTGATGTGATGTGAAATAGTCAAGAAGCTTGTGCTATGTATAAATGTCATATTTTTATTTTTTAAATAATTATTTTAAAAATATATTGTATCTTTGTATTTTAAACTATATTTGCATTAGAATTTGTAAATGCAGCAGCTCCATCCTTTAATTGTTGCTTATTTCTATTCATGGCAGGCAGCTAAACTTCCCATGTCGATCATCATTGTTGGAGTTGGCCAAGCGGAGTTTGATGGTGAGGTTGACTGAGAAAAGATGTTGAAACCAATCTGTTTTCTGCCTCAAAGGCGATGCTATCAAACCAGTTTACACTCGGTCTCCTGAGTCTCATTCACTGACATTATGAGTATATTTCTATATTACTAAATGCACTGATAAAATGTGATGTGTATTATTTGGATATTGAGACAAACTTGAGATTATTGATCTATAAATCATTTTTCTCTGCAGCTATGGTTGAGCTTGATGGTGATGATGTCAGAATCTCCTCACGGGGAAAGCTGGCAGAGAGAGACATTGTACAGGTGAGTCACTTCTAATGTGATATCACATATTTCCCAATGGCACACAAAAATGTTATCAACTATGCCCAATCAGTCTCCATGCCTTCGCATGAAATCTCAAAATACACTGCACATGATCAGGCCACTAATCTAATATGTTTAAAGAATATGAAGCCTTTCTATTTTTGGCAGAATTTCTGCTCCTTCACACCTCATCTAGATGACACAGAATCTAAACAGAACAGCCGTATGTCCTCATTCCAAAATGTCAGCTTTGCTCAAGTCTTACTACAGAGGCCTAGATTCCCTTTGAAATTTATACGGCTAATGTTCCTGAACCAAAAGAAGTTAGAAAAAAAACTTTCTCTTCTTCCCTCTGCTTTGTTCTTAAGACTAAAAAACAGATGTAATCCTCATTGATGACAAATAAATGCTCTTCAGCTTTGAGCAGATTTATTTTTCTATTTTTTCATTATGGGTGATGATCCAGCTTTGCAGCTTTTGCATATATTTTCTTTCTACACTTCACATTTAAAAAAAAAATCTAACCTTCATGTAAGTGATTTGGTTACTGTAACCTAACTATAGAGTATATTACGTGGTGGAAGTGCAAAACAATGATTGGACTAATTTGGCTGCTCATTGAGAGTCAACTCTGCTTCAGTTCCTATTTGTGATCAATAGAACAAAAAGTAAGAGAACATTAAGATAACTGATTCAGCATTATACACATTGTTGTTCTTCCTTGTTGCTAATTAATTGCAGTTTCCATAAAAATGAACATTATACAAAGTGAACATTATACGGAGTAAAAGGAAGTTCGAATTTTAAGGCCATTTTTTAATATTGTGTAAAAACCTCATGAAAGGTCTGGAAAAATATTACATAAGAGTATGTAATCCCCGAAGAAAATGGATAGTCAGGTAGATGTGAATTATGAATTGGTGCCCTGGCAGTCGGCCAAAATAAGATGGGAAATATAAGCAATTGAACAAAAGGCAAAAGTTCAATGAAAAATATTTATAATAACTACAGCAAATTATCATCATCAGCAGCCTTATCATTTGTTGGAATTAGAAAATGAATACTTATTGATCCGATGTACAGGAGCCAAAAGCCAGAATTAAGTCATGAGTTGATTCATTATATAAAAATGTTTTGAAATGTGTTTTTTTCCCCCCCATGTCACAACAGTTTGTACCATTCAGAGACTACATGGACCGAACAGGTAACCACGTGCTTAGCATGGCACGGCTGGCTAAAGATGTACTCGCTGAGATCCCCGACCAGCTGATCTCCTACATGAAGAACAGAGCCATTAAACCCAACCCCGTCCCTCCAGCTTACTCAGCCTGTGACCTCCCTGAAACCAGCCCCATCTGAGCCTCTCCCCCACAGAAGTCTGCTTTGGATGCTGCTGCATCCGGATTCATGGGAGCCAACAACTGTTGTTTAAGGGGAGATTGAGGACCCTCTAAAAGCCCTTCTCATAAATGTTACTCCAATTTAACAGTTGATGAGACTCCATTGTGGTTTGGAGCAGGAGGTTGTTGCAGAAGCCGCTGATGATCAGGGAGTGTTGTTCTGTCTCAGTGCTTGAGGATATGAGGGGAGGCCAGTGTACAGGGAGGTTTTAGTTCTTCGCTGTCAAACCTGTCAAAATGGTGATGTAATGGATAGCAAGTAAACCCCTAGAGAGGGTCTATTTGAAGGCTTAGAAATGTTAGGATGTGGCAGTAAGTATCATGTTTGTCATACCTTCTGGATTTGATGTGTGTTGAACTAGGAAATCTTGTGTAAAATAATATATTTGGTTATCTATTGTAGAAATAAATTATTCCTTTAAAGGGGTTTTAAAGGGTGGGGATTAAAGTCATATATACCCTGTAGTTTTCCATCTTATATTTTGTGCCAAGTGAAAAGCAATCCCCATTTCTACTTTGATAAAACTGTAAGATATAAAAGCATGTAATGAAAGAATATTCAGCGCTCATTAACCATTTTCACTTTTTGAAATTTTTGGCTACAAGCTGTCAATGACCACCATATAGAGTTTTCAGCATCATGTCTTATATATGTTTCTAAGATTTCTATTAACAGAATGCACTAATTACTGTCCAAGTAAAAGCACAAAGGTTGTAATCTTTATAAGCTGATCAGCAATGAAAACAATAGAGACCAGTGCATCGTGTTTTCATCATGGTTCTAACTATATCTTCATATTAAACTGAAAGCTCTTGAGTAGCGTTACACTAAGAGAGTCAGATTACATGTCCGATTTTAATCACATCCGCACATTCTCTGTTAGTATAGAGGAAGGAAAAATATACTTAAGAGTTGCTGCCACATCTAATTAATCCTCTTGCTCTTTGGCTTGCTCTCCACAATATTTGTTATTGGTGTGATTCATTTTTTAGTTGTTTTGTTTCTCCAAAGAACTCTTGACTTTTGAATTGCAAATTTAACTCTTGTTCCTCCTATTTCTTCTCTACACACATTTATTTGGCTGGCTTCCCAAAGTGAAATTTGAATAATCTCAAATTAGCCGAAGAAAGACTTTTAGTCTTTTTCCTTTCCTATTTAATATACTGAGTGCAGCACTGAACAGATGAGTCTGGGTCTTGTGTGATGTGTCCACTGTAGCCATTGTTGTGTTTACTTGCAAACCCCTCCCCAAAAATTTAAGACTGTAAAATGTAATCCAAAACAGAAGACAATTATCTCTTTAACCACAATCATATTAACAATTAAAGTATATGGAAATAAGACAAAGTAACTTTTCATGAAAACTACCAGTCAATCCTGTATTTGATGGCAGAACTGACCGTCTTAAGCATCTGTGAAATGAGGAGAGCAGTTGCTGCACCTTCAGGAGAGAAATGTGCTCCATTTTTGTTTGATTCTGACCGCTCTGACCGCTCAAATTCTGACCGCTCAAATGTCTTGTGTTCAGTGGGTGAAAAGTCCCACACCTGAGCTCCTCCACAATGAAGTTGTTTAGTCTGAAATCAGTTCAATACATGGTTTATTATTTCAAACCTGTTATCTAGAAAGTATCTTATGTTTTCCCAAAACCTGTGTGTAACTTTTAGTATCAGAGATGGTTTTCCAGATCTGGCATATAAGCTAATTCCCTTCTACCCCATCAGAATTAAAGCCATTCCAAGTTCTGGCAGCATTTCTGGCTAATGCTTACACGTGTTTTTTCTGTGCAGTGCTATCAGAGCACATGAAGTTCACTCAGAGTTGATTTTTTCTTTCAGACCTGTTTCCCATTGACCAAACAAATTAACTAAAAAAGATTATTCCAAAACATTCTACCAGCTTTTTAGTTTTTGTGACACTCTTCTAGCCTTCTGCTGAGATGTGTCTCTGCCATCAAATTCAAGATGAGATAATGTTCATTTAATAGTAAAAGGCTTGATGTCCAATTTTGCTTCGTATGTCCCTTTCAATTGTGTTTACATTTCAAACAGCGTCCTACGCTTTAAATGATCGGGGTTGAATGTGTCTGTTAAATTAACATATATCATTTTTCTGGATTAGACTGTTTTAACCTGCACAACAGCCTGTAACTCATAAAAACGTTCAATTCAAACGATAACGCCTCAAAAGAAGACTTCTCTATAAGATGTTTGCCAGTTGTTGATGCATTCGCATTTCTTTGTGGCTTCTTCTTTTTCTGAATGTGCAGATATTTTTTTCACCCGACATAATCTCTACATAATGGTCCCTTATTTTCAGACATAACTCTCTTTGAGTCGCTCATTATCTTGATCCAAATGTGCCTATTCTATTGAGACATATCCAAATTCTGATCCCCAGGTGTTATTGTGCCTGCTGCCGCAGGTCTGGTGTTTAACAAGGTACAGGCAGAAAATGGAGGAGAAACCGCCTCCAGATTAGGACTACTATCACAGCCACAACAGCAGCACACCAGTGTTCTGTACTTTTTATACTTACAGCTCTTCACTGACAATTGGTGAAGTAATGAAAGTTGACGGTATCACCGAGCCTTGCTGTACAATATTCAAAGTCAAGATGTGTTTACAATACAACTGTTGCTGTTTGCATCACCTCAAGGAAAAAGTAAACGTTCATGGGTTTCATTAGTTATGGTGAGTTTTTTTTTTTTTTTTGTGTTCTATGAGGGAGTTTCTCTGAATGACAGTTGATAAGCAATGTTTACACAGTTAGCTTAAGTTGTTAGAATATGTTAGTCTCTGTTTTGCTCTGTTTTGAGCAGATGTGTTTGTGACGCTCTTTGTGAGCTGCCTCTCATTGCAGGGAGCAGAAAGGGTCTGATTTTGTGGAAACTCAGTCCAGATGCATCTTATTTGGCTTTTTGGTTTTTAAAAATTTTCATGGCTGGTTATATTTCTCCCTAACAAGATAAATGAAAGTTTAATCTGCTGCCAAAGTCAGTGGGCCATCAGAACTGAAAGAAGGCCATTACGTTTATTTGCATAGCACTCAGAATATAAATGTACCTCAACACAAAGCCATTCAGTCTACGAGGAACTAACTGAAATACTCCTGTTTTATTTGTTCGATTTATGAATAAAGTGACAGTTTTTAAGTTTATTTTGCTAGAATGAGTCAGACTTTCTTAATTTCTCATAGTGTGGGAAAAGTATATTTAGCATGCTTGAAGCTCATCAATATGCAGCTCATATTCTGAGTGTGACAGCTAACATCTGCGTGAGACGAAGAAACAGAAATGTGAAGTGGTGGTGCTGCACTTTTCAAACATACTTGATGTAATCTTTATGACACAACCAGTTGTAGAAGAATTAAAGGACTTTCATCATTGTTCCTCCGCAATGATAAGAGTCTTTGTTTTCCTTTTGTCGTCCCTGTAACCTCTGCGAGAAACCCCGCAGGGAAAAACCACCACTAACACATTGACACTTATGCAATTGTAGAACAAGAAATGAGATTATCAATTACATTTTTCAGCAGTAGCTGAATACTTCATTTTCTCATGCGGAAATGGCTTTGTTTTCTCCTTCTTTTTAACTGCTCTTTAAGACTGAACTCTAATTATGTACATAAGCCCCCTAAGAATGATTCTCGGTGCCAGCCTGTGTTCGGTTGTTTCACCTCTTTAGACAATGTGCATGTTTGTGCCAAAGTGGCAGAAGGTTTGATAGTGTGCCGTCATTTCATCTGTCACATGCTTTGTTTGTTACTTAAGATGTTATTTGGAGATAACAGCTACTTCTAGCATGATGCATCTCAGCTTTCTTTCCATTCTGATCCTATGAGACACATACTGTATGGGTTGTTCTTGCCACTACTCCTGTTTTATCCCAGGTTGTTTACATACCTCTATTGGTCTCTGACTTGCATGCTGAATAATTTCCAAACCAGGTGTTGGACACGATATTGTCGTCATACTGTGGTTTGTGAAATGCTTTGTAATGGATTGCCTTAACTAAAGATTAATAAAATATTGACAACTTTGCCAGAATGCACAGAGTTTTCACTGTCACTGTCAGATGTAGGAGGAACAAGAAAGCAAACATGGTGACTATTATGGTAATCATAATAGTGAACATATGAATAGAAATTATGTGAATTAATACTTGCCTTCATCTGCTGTCTGTGTATTTCTTTACCTTTACAAGCATTTTGAGCAAGTATGAAACTCTTTGAACTTACTGTCTCTGTTGTCTGGAGCCTAGAATGTACAATATTTGCACCCAGCCAAAGGTGCACTAGTTCATCGCTGTGCCTCAGACACTGTGCCAAATCTAAAATAGTGATGTAATAGTTATTTCTGCATGTTCCTCAGATATCGTAACATTTGAATCTTTTACATCTCAAAAATAGATTGTGAGTGCCAACAGGTATGATAAGTAGGTTGTCTATAAGGTCTATAAAATAGGTAAAACAATTTTTACAAACTGAGGAGGACACAAAAAAATGTACATTACGAACAAGAGAAACTGGTGCCAATCTTTAGATTCAAGAGTTGGAAGTAAAATTATTTGTAAATTGAATTGTTTGTGAAACAGTTAGTGTGAAATATATATACAATATTAGTGACAGTAAAAATAATATTTTTCAAAATAATTGGCACAAAAATTGGCACAAAAAAGATAATGCCTCAACATGGTATTTCTAATTCAAACAGGATTAAAGTTGATTGAAAAAAAACTTTTGTGTTTTTGCTTTGAGCAATCACATTCTTTCTTATTTGCAAATTAACCTATTTATTTTAATAATTTATTCATAATTCATTTATTTTTAAGAAGAAAAGACGCATCTACTCATCCAAAACAAAGATGAAAGTTTATATATCACCTCCTTTTTTCTAAGTTTGTTGTTGATTGAGTATTGATTCTAAAAAGCCAGATCATTTTCCATATCATATCACCCACAAACTAACAATGAGAAATGTGACAGATTATTATCTCTTAGAAACAAAGTTCCTGTCATCTCTCAGGAGATCAGTATTACCTATTCCAAATAATGAAAAAACTAATTTTGCAATGGGGAGAACAGCTTTTTTGGATATGAGCCCTGGTGTGCAGCCATGCGACATGTACATCCTAACTTTACATCCTTGTTTAACCCTGTAAAGCACAGCACTTGTGTTTGTAAAGTAAACACATGATTTTTCTTAATTCCTGAAATGCAACAGACCAACTGTCCAAGTGTATGATTTCGTTGAGTTCATTCATCATTCAGTTCATTCAGTATTTTCATTATTTGTCAGTGCTGGGTTACATGTACATTATACATGAGCCCTGGGGATTCAATAGGTTTATTATGATTCAGCACTCATTAACTCCACATATCTATTTGCTCTCTTTTCTAAAATATTCTTCCAATGTGCCTATGTCCATGAAAACTGAGGATTTCTGGTTATGACTGTGTCAATAAGGCTTTTTGTGGATGTGACAAAGAAATAGAATCTGCTTGTAACAATGGGAAATGTCCTAGGGGGGAAATGTCACTGTGAATGAAAGCATACCCAGAACAAGTCCAGTTGACAGTCTTGCAATGGGGGAAGAACCAACACTTAAATCTTGCTCTCCTAAAGTTACTCACAAAATCCCTGGACAGAAATGGAGAGCAGGTGCAGCTGTAACTATGTTCAATGTCCACACAAGGCATGATTTAGTGCCATCTTTTGCCAGAGTTTGAAAGGACCTCACAGCATGCAGAAATAATAATCTGTCAGGGAGGACAGAGGCAGCGCACTGTGCCATAGCTTAGACAGACTCTACAGGCTTCTTCCTTTGTGCAAGGGTCGATCATTGATCTGGTGCTCTGGTTTTGCATTCACTACAGGGAGGAACTTTACTACAAGTGACTTTTTAAATGACAGAGTTGGGAAGTTCCTGAGCTGACAATTCTCCCAAAGTCCTTCGTCCAAAACCTGGTTACTGTTACTGTTGAATGCCATCCTCTTTCCCAAACCCTGCTTAGAACAAACCATTACTCTATATTATATTGTCGTTATTATTCGACACATTGCAAATCATGTTTGTTAAGACTGTGTTGATTTTACTGGTGAGATAGGGCAACTTGCCTATTGTTTATGGTTCTAAAGTATATTTTACTAAAACCATATTTTACTAAATAAAAAAGTCACATTGCCCCTTTCTCGTTTGATGGGGAGTTCAGACTCCAATTGGCCAGCCATCTCTTTTCAAGACCTTTCCAAATGTCTGCCTTACTTCCAGAGTATCTGCTCCCACTTACACAACCCCTCCTTCTTGTTGTTGTCCACCAACAGCTCCTCAGGCTGTCCCCATGGAAAGCATCAAGCCTCAAACCAGAGGTCCTATCATCCCTGTAAGGTGGGAAGATGTTATATAGTCAGTTGAAATAACGGGTCATATTTCACTCACCCAGTCTTTCTCAGTACACCATGGATCTGTTTGGACCTACCAGGCCTGTCTGTGACAGCATCTCATCCAACTCCCTTCGTGGTCTGGGGAAATTTGATGGATTCAGGGCTTTTCTGAGCCCTGAATACATCAAATTTCCGGGGTTTAATGTTACAGAGACAGAGACCATTTCATTTGATGTCCTTATCCATTGAAATCTGAAGGTCTTTTCTTCTTTTTTCAAAAAAATGAAACAGTGTGAATCACACAAAAGAACTGCTATTGTAAGATTGTTATCAAAGGATTTAGGTTTATTTGTCAGTGTAGTTGATTTAATCTACACATCTGTTCCCTTGGGAAAGTGGTATGTAACTCCCTAAGACTTGTGTTTTTCTCCCCCTAATTAAATGCTCTGCTGAGGAATCAAGATGTCCACCTGGGAAGTGGAAGACAGCAGCTGGAGGCATAAATTACCAGCCTAAGATAATACCAAAACCTCCCTTGCCCACCCACATGCTGCTTGAACAATAACCACCAACTGGCAGCCAGGAAGAAAATCAACAGCTAATGACATAGAATTACATCCTACTTATACACTGTAAGCGATTTCACAAGAATAATATACAAAAATTCTTCAAAGGAGAGTTGTGCTCAGACAAGACAAGACATGTAACAACTGATGAGATAAAATAGATATTTAAAAACCTGTAACCCAAAGGAATAGTTTTGTATTATGGGAAATAAAGACATTTTCTTCTCTGCCAAAACCTCATTAACTCATTTGTGAACACATTCTATCTTCACTCCAAACATGAGGTCTAAATCAGATTAAATCTAAATGTTATATGCTTGAATTACTGCTGATGAGGTGTTTCTTCCTTCTGAAACGAAAATAGATGAATATTAAATAAAATTTGTTGTGACTAACAAACCCATATTTTCTAGTCTAGTTCTCTCAAAACCACCTGCATGATCTCTGAAAATAGTAATAACTGTGAAATTGACAAGTTCTGGTTTCACATAATGGTAGTATAGTATTCAAGCCCTTTTTCATCAGTAATGTCACATCTCTTTGTGCTAGAATGAGACAAACGGTAACACAAAGACGGATCATTACAGATCTTAAAGTAGTCCGTGAAAAATTACAAAGCAATTTCATAACCAGAGCTAAATCATATTCAATTTTGAACCTAATCCCTGAATAGTTGCACGGTGTGTATGAGAACAGTATCATCCCTCCTTAAGAGAGTTATTAAATATATTTATTTAATAAGAAAAAACCTACAGTAATTCTTCATTTGGGCAGTGACAACGGCATATTTCTAACATAAATGAAAGAACATTGGATGAGAGGTCAATCCTCACAATGATTTAGAACTCAGGACACTGTCTGTTTTTTTATTTCCACAGCTGGAAGCAAAAGGACTTGTGCACAAGCCTTTCCCTCTCTCATCACACATCAGGATGGGCAGCAGGTTCAATGTTGACCTAAAGGATAACCGCAACCGCACATCTTCATGCATATGTGGCAGACCGTTAAAGCACATAGCCCATTGGGCAATAGTAAGGCGAGCCCTTTCACATTAGCATCCCTTGTTTTTAGAACTCTGGTCAGCTGAAAACAATTGGCTGCTAAGAACAAGCTCAAAGTGTGGGATGGCTGTAGATGCGACTCCTCATCTCTCACTCCTGTAACTACATCCTGCTCCTCTTTTGTGTAAAGCTTTCTGCTCTGCTGTTCAAAATGAACTCGGTTCACCTTAAGGTTACAACACAGGTCTTGCCTAGCAGGACAAATCTACTCTCCACCACATTTCACTTGCTCCTCTAGTACAGGCTATAAATCATCATTAGGCTACCGATGGGGAATGATATAATAAGAATGAGTGAATTTGCAGTGCACTGAAATGGAGCTGAAGAGGAGCTGTAGGTGGTTTCCCATTACCACCTATATCAAATAATGTCCTGGAGAATTGTAATCTTAGCAAAGCTGTCCACTGGAAATAATAATGATGAATCAGCTTGGTCATTGCATCAAATTCAGAGAAAATAAACACAAAAGTGCATATTTTGCTATGCAGTTGTTTAACAGAGAAAGCAGAGATATTTGATTTACAGTAACTGAGTGATAACTACAAAATATTCAGCCCTGATGAGGCAAAATTGATGGCATTGTAAAATGACAAGAACAAAAACCACAAAGTCGAGAAGAGCAGTATATCCTCTGTCTGAGAGTTCTCGCTTCTCGGGGGGGGGAGTCCACCCAGTCCTGCACATTATTACATCTGGCAGAGAGCCTAATTCAGTGTTTACTGCACACTGGAGCAGCCTGTTCCCCATAAAAATGTATTCTCATTACCAACAAAAATAACATGAAACAGAAACTGTCCGGGATATTTTTGGGGCTCTAATTTGACTTTTTTTTTCTGTGGAGAGCTTTATGCCTGCGCAAAGCATGAAAATTATGAAGGTAAATAAGCCAATCTAAATGTTGTTAACTTCCTACTCAATCAACCCATCACTGTCTAAACTGTTTCAGGATAAAACTAAAGGCATAAACTGCATCGCTTTTGTGTTTGAAAAGTGTGGCTGTAAGTTGGAGGTATTTGATTATAATTTTTTCTCCATGAAAAAATGGAGAAAATAACATATTGGGTCCTTTCATTTGTAAGGCTTGTTTGGTGGATGGGGATGGACCTTCCTTTAATTGATAAAGGTAAATCGATGTACTGTATGTCAGCCGTGATACACATTTTAGTTAAACCATCTTGATCTCTTTATATATCCAATAAATTGCTGTTCTAAAGCCAAAATGTTACACAAATGGAAAGGTTGTTACATGTCTAAGTTGTGACAGAAGCCATTAAAAGATGAATTGGTGAGATCCAGTCCTTGTTGACATGTGTCATTTAGCGATTAACTGAAAAGTGCTCACAGTTCTCTCTTTGGCCAGGCTGTCATGTCGTAAAAGGCTGCAGAGAGTTTGATTAAATGAAAGCAGATGCACGTTTCATGTAGTACCCTGATAATTCCTACGGTGCCGACAGCTGCTCTGTCTGGCGTGTGTTTTGCATGTTTGTAGTCCTCACTCAGATAACGCCCACAGTAACCTGGAGTTAGCCTCATATCTGTGAGGCTTGTGGGGAAGGAGAAGAGCAAAGTGAGGGATAAAACTTGTGTGGTGATTTGAAAGAAGCAAAAGATGCAAAGGCAGGTGGGCAGAAGAGAGAGGGAGCGTGTGAAAGTGAGGATTGCAGAGAACGAAATAGGTGGAAAATAAGTATATTAAGGAAATAAAACATCAGGAGATCCTGATCTAAGAAAGTGATGACTAGCATCTTGGATAGAGAGAGAATTCTGTGGTAAGATCTCATGTTGTTGGTGGAAAGTTGCCTGATTCAGTCTTTTCTAAAGCGAAATAATATATCAAACAAATGAGAAATTCGTAAATAGCTTGCAAAGCTAACTATTACCTGGCATGTTGACACCTCCAGTATTGAATGTGAGAGTCCCACTTCAATAATAGCTTGTGGGAGTGGGAATCTGAGAGAGTCACAAAGCTGCAGCAACATCTTGAAAAAATAATGAGTTTGGCAGCTTTTACTGCTGCGCCCCAAATCCTTTTCTGCCTTTTCCCCATTCAACAAAGCTGTTTTCTCATCCCTCTTACCCCTGCTCATCCTTGTGTATTTACAAACTCAGAGGACAGACTAGCACATACGCTGCAATATTCGCGCGTGTGTGTGTGTGTGTGTGTGTGTGTGTGTGTGTGTGTGTGTGTGTGTCGACCCCAGCACAGAGAAACACTGGCAGGGGCAACAGAAATAGCAGTAGACTGCGAGCAAAAAGATAAGAGCCTCTACTGCTGTGTGGGTGTGACGCAGCTCAGCTTCATCTCTCCGACTCTTTGCAACAGTCTGGGAAAAGGGTACTGAGAGAAATCACTACAAAAAGTGCAGAAACCAGTGGCTTTCTGAAAGTCTGGTGCCGCTCGACTGAAGTCACCTACGCTGAGCTGTGAGCTGGTGTTTCGTCTCCTACCCACTCCCGTCAGAGAGGCATTGTCTTTGAGGAGCCACCAAAGGCTGACAAAGTCAGCATTTTGAGACCGTAGAGTAAAAAACGAAACAGCAAATGAGGTCAGCACCCTGACCTTTTACCAGATTCATATCCCCATTCTTGAAATCAGGGTTTAAAAATAATGCTAATATAAGATGAATTATGGACAAAAACAGTGTAACCTGCAGCTTTTAAAACTTAAGAGTCTCCTGTTTTATTCGCTAATGAAAAATGAAAGTATCCTGCCAAGATCTCTCTCCTTGTGAATGCTGACAGTGTAGCAAGGGATTAAAAAGTTATCTGAGGTAAATCAACCCCTGTCAAGATGATCATGTTCAAGTTGAGTAAATATGAACTGCTTTATTTGAAGTCTCATCAGAGGAACAAAGGCATTGTGGGATAAAATCACAGGACGCCCCAGAAACACCAATAGTGAATATGCATGTGTCTTTGATCTAAAACACTATGCACACTTTTGACTCGAATAAGGCATGCCAGGAAAATTATTTGTCTTCCGAAAGAAGTGTCAGAGCAAAACAACAGCAGCAGTTAAAAGTTAATATGTAAAGACCTGGGAGTTATAAAAGATGAATCACAAAATGGACAGAAGCACTATTTTCAGGAAAACCTCACAGGGTTTGTGAGGTCTTGAAGATAATGTGAGATAGCCTGTGTAAATGTTAAAGCTGAAATAGAGATGGGCCTTTAAACAGTTTAATGGCCCTCAGCATAATAGGCAATCCAGCAAGGAACGAAGTGAGGAAAGTTAAGGGAGCACAGAGTCTAGCCCCATTTCTGAGTCCCATCAAGGTGTGGAGAGGGGATTTAAATCAAGCAGTTCAGTCGAGTACAGAAGGAGCAGCAAGATCAAGAGTGTTCCAATAGGTGAGCAAGTAAAAGGTTTGTTGAAAATGATGTATAAACACCCAATGGGGGCTTAACTATTAGTGAATAAATATTACTGTTAATCCTAGGTCATGAATAGTCTCGATACAATGTTTCTGTAGTAGGATACAAAACAAATAAAGGTAGAAACATCTGCAGATTCAAACCATGCTGTCTTGAGATGATGAGTGATGTCAACGGCATCCTTTTACTGGTCACACGTGTGGACAATTTCAGGATATAAATAGTATATATGAATTGTCATTCAGACTTTTAAGGATGTTGATTAGTCTATGTTATATTAATCTTAATAGAACACTTTTCAGTCTCAATCGTTAAGCTCCAAATTTACGGAGGAAACTTGAAAATGGTTGACGGCAATTTGAAAAAGTATCAGTTAAAAGTATAAAACCATCACAGATTCACATAATTTTCTTTGTAGAAAAATTATTTCTATCCAATAGTTGGTGTGAAACGTGTTGGATGCGTGTTGGTCTGTGCGGTTAAATTGGAGAAAATATTTCATTATTTTATCAGTGATGTCAAACCAGATAAACCATTTAAGTTGATTGGAGGGCCACTGAAATACAACAAAAGGCTAATGATGCAACAAGAGTGGCTCCAAAATGTTATGATTGTTGAATAAATCAGGAAAATTTTCTAAATAAATAATAAGAAAGACAATAATCAATCAGTGAATTAGAGACGACTGACACTTGACACTGATAATGGCTGTTAAAATTCAAACAGTGGCCCATATAGTTGAAAACGGAGCAACTCAGCTATTTATATACATTCATACAAATATTATACACATATATACAGTGTGTGAAATAAGATACAGGCTAGAGGCAAAACCAGCACTGAATCCTTCTCTTCTCTAGATTAAAAAAAGAAAGAAAAAGAAATAGAAACACTCAAATTGTGATTCAGTTTGTTTTCCTCCAGCTCTCCAATTATTTCTGTAAATTTGTAATTTATCACATTCATGATGAAGTAGCCAAAGTCTGTGATAATCAGATCATCATACGAATTGGAAATATTGATTTGAAGGGACAGGGAATTGCCCCAGCCACATTATTCTTGCAGCGGGCCTCGTAGGAAGAGGTCTTGGTCTTGCAGGTGGCAGTGTCCTCGTGATTTCCTCTTGAAGTAATGGTGTGTGTGAGGAATCCATTACTTGAGCCCTAATATGCTGCTGCTATGCTGTGGGGGTACGAGACACTTCATTTCCTTCCACTTCCTGGCTGTTCTGCCAGAGCTGCGTATTATTGTTTTCATCCTGTCACTGCATTTCAATGGGCACTCTCAAAAAGAATGCAAGTCTCAGTTAAATATGCAGGAATCTGGATATATAATTCCATCTCAAGTCTGGACGTGTCCTGATTACAATTCAGCCAATATCTGTAGGACAATAGTCTGACCTCCTTGCTGTCAGGATGGATTACAAATGGCAATAATCTGAGCCGCTGTATCATCAGGCTAAAGTTATCCATCCGTATATTTATATTATTTGTGTCCTCAGAGAGCAGATTCAACCCCAAAATACATAAAGGGGTGATCTTTCATCAGCATTCGTGCATAAACTTACCCATATTGCTGATACACATTTGGAAAATGCAAAATGTCTGCTGCTTTTGTGTGTAGGGTGGTAGAATTTGTCTCAATGGAAGATTTAAAATCCACACATTTTTAGTCGAGCTTTTCAGCATATCTACTTGCAAATGAAATTGTGCCATAAGGTGCCATGTGTTAGGTTTGTTTTGGGTGAATTGAGAGTAAAACAGTATTTCGACCTAAACTGACACTAGATATGAACCAAAATGTTCCCATTTAATATTTTAGGGGCATATTTTTGTGGACACTGAATGCCGGACTTCAAGGCTGAGTTGTGGAGTTGTTATTGTTACATGGAGCAGGGCTTGGACGCGTGTCATGAATGTAAACCCGTATTCTTTAGTGTGCTTTGGTGGGTTTACTAGAATAGGCCTAAAAGACCAACAGTGCTCATCAAACAGATTGGTCTGTATGCTTGCTCTGAGCATCCCCTCTTCTGACGTGCATGCTCCCATCCTGCAGGAGCTGGTCATTCATCCTTTATGAGCGCAGCGGGGAGCTGAGCAGACTCCCAGCGGCAGCACATGTAAGCCCATCATTCCACCGGCAGCGCCTCCATTACGCTGCCACACGGAGCCTGAGAGACGACTTCTCACCAAACACGTTCTCAGAGCGCGACCTAATGGGACGAATGAGTATCGGAGCCGACTGGAGATGAGGGCACAGCTGGATGTGTCTTGCCATTTGTTTAGAGATTTGCTTCTGCCCACTGTGCCGCTCTGGAGGAGTTTGGGTGTCAGGATGGTGGACGAGGATCCTGCAGGGATTCAAACTAACGGTGCGAGTTGGCTGAGAGGACAGACGTCAGCCTCTGCAGTGAGAAGGCACAGCAGGCAACCTGCATTGTGCAAAACCCCAGAATCCGTTCCCGTTTGTCCCCCCCTTCCATTATTACATTACCTTTCTATAAGATTGGGGTACAAAAAGAGATATTGCTCAAATTTGATTTCCACTTTTATTTTTTCAACAGGAATAATATTAGAAAGGGAAAATAATAAAATAAAATAAAAAACCCCAGCTCATATTCCTTAAAAAACTACTGCCATCTTGGGGATAATATTGGCATTGCAACAAGAAACGGCTTCAAATATTACACATCCTTTAACAAAGATCTGTGAGCCACCCAGTTTAAATTAACACCTTAAGGAAACACTTATGAACTAACATCTACAAATGAAGTGTCATTTACTCATGAAAAATTGACAGATAAGGTGCCTGTACTCAGTGTGCTCTGAACAGTTGGTCTGTAGTGCTGGTTTCCTTTTAACATACAAAATAAAAGAAATGTGTGTGTGAGCTAGAGCTCAGTCAGTGGATTTACATCAATATTTCCCAAATTAAAAAGGCAAAGAGTGGTTTTACAATGTTTACAGGTGAACATGAACTATGGTACATGAGACGTTGAAAAATGCACACCAAACAAAAACGCTGAGACACTCGATTGGCTTGGATTGAAATAACAGAAGGAAAGTGTTTGAAGTCAGAAGACACTTGGTTTGAGTAACACATACTCAGGTTAACGAAACATGTCGCATCTTTACAGTTCAAACTTTCTGAAGGAGACTTCCTGCATTTTGATTTTCCGTCAGAGGAACGTTTGGAGCATTTTGTTTAAAGGATTCAACAAATTAAGAGGAAATCAAGAACGAAAGCTCCATTTATCGTGTTTTTTTCCAGTTTTGTTTGAATTCCTATAATGTTGGAAGCTAACCAGGATATCCAGACCATTGGCTAATTTGACACTACAAACAGGATTACTTTAGCTGACTTGCTTTTAGACTTTTACAAATTTGGACAAACATTTGCCTAAGGTAAAGAACACAGGGGAAAGATTTTACAAACTATCATCTGAACTGGATAAGATGTTTGGCACTGTCAACACATCATTGGCATTCTGAAAAAACCAACACTGCTCCTCATGTCAACCTAAGGAGCGTATCAGCTTCTTTTGGAGTACAACACAAACACGTAAGAGCAGAAACACATTTTGAAGGCAACAGTCATATTCAACCCAGACACATCTGATGGGAAAAGGGGCATCTTCCATAAGCCTAACCCACATGTTTAGTACTTTATTTTCAGAGGGGTATAGTTATATAAAAAAAACTACTTACCACAGGGACCATTTTCGATTAAGGATTCAGTCCAAGTTGCAAGTTTAGCAACGTTCTTATGACATAATATTTTAATACCACTGATCCTATGTGAAAGCAAAACCTACAAACACCAGTTCAACCAGTCAAAATCCAAATTCAACCATTTAACTTATTGGTTCCATGAATTAAAGTGACAATAAAAAGGCAAAAAAGGAGCTCACCTGATTTACGACAAGAAAAGATTAACTATATTTTCCTTGTGCCATTTCAACATTTAGCTAAACTTCAGCTTTGGTCACAACCATTAGAACAGTAGTCTTGTTACAATAATACTTCTATGTGATGAGGACACTGATGTGAATCCCTGGTTCAAAGCACAGAGATTCAGAGAGACATTACAAAACACTGAAAGCATAAGACCTCACTCAGAATTATCTGTGGTAGAGCTTAGATGTGGAGGACGGGGCATGAGTACAGCTGACTGCTCCCCACACTAGCAAGACCAGAGCTGAGCACAACTCACTTCTGATTTAAGACAACGTGTTCTGCTGCCGGTGGAGCGGCTGCTCCTGTCCATATATGAATTAAGTATCACTGAACCGAGGATCACGTAATTCTAATGCACCTCTCTCTCTCGTCAAAATATCGTCAACAAATATTTTCTCCAATAGAGCAATGAAAGTTGTTTTCGAAGAAACTAAATAAATCTATTCCGGCAGTTTCCCACGTCAGGAGGCCAGTGGGGTACAGACTGGTCAATGGACAGCCTGGTTTTAGAAGGTTTAGATCACCAACAAATACTTGAAGGACCACAAGGAAAATTAAATAGGAATCCAATATTAAGACCATGCTTTAGGCTGCTTAAGAAAACCATTCAGAATAAAGAGGACAGGCAAAAGGGTAAAAATAAGAATTTCACATTAACTCGTTCAGACATCATCCTCGTCAGAGTCTCTGAAAGGCAAGAGTGTAAATTTTTGTATGAAGCTCTGTGGCTGAAGGTGCCTTTGGGTGAAGTCCTCCTCTGAGAACTGAAGACACATCAGAAGCCTGTTCTCGAGTTCTTCTACATGCCCCCGGAGCAGCTCAATAGAGGAGGTGGAGGACGTGATGGAGGAGCTGTCAGGGCTGCTCTGTAACGCCGCCCGTAGCTCCGAGTTTCCTTGGCTCTGATGCATCTCATTGTGCCGACTCAAGCTGTCCCCGCCTGACAGCGTGCTCCTGTTCTGCACATTTTCACATCCTTCATGCTGATCACTACTAATTTTGGCTTGAGCCTCAAAATAATTTGTCATGATCCCGATGGGCTTTAAGCAGGCCTTGGTGTTTCTAACAATCTTCATTGGAACAAAGTTGCTTTGGGTGAGTTGACTCAGTGGCACCGACTCGGCCATCACTATTTCCTCTGAGACAGTCTGGACGATGTTGAGGTTCCACAAGTCCCCAGCTCCTGGCCTCTTTTTGTCAGGGGTGAATGTCACGCTTGGGTCAATCACAATACAGTCGGATTCCTTTTCACTACCACCTATGTCCATCTCTTCCTCAGATTCATCCAAAACCAGACTATTTGCCTCCCAAGATTCATCAAACAATGTGCTACCGCCCTTCACTGGAGAATCAAACTCCACCCCTTTGGGAGGAAGAGGTCTGAAAGGTCCCCGTCTAAGGTCAGTGCTTGTTGATGAGCTGAGCTGGCTCTCGGGCATCCGCAACATGTAGTGACGGACCGATTCAGGTATAAGAATTTCACGCCACCTTTTGCGTGGCACTAAGTTCGACAAACTCCCCGGCAGACAGTTTCCTACGATGGGAACCAGGGAGGTAGGTTTAAGTGCAGAGACAAAATCTTCCAGCTCTTGGTAGGAGGAGTGGTCTGAATAGGGCACTACATGAACATTGGGGTGGAAGGAGATAAGGGGCCTGCTGGTAGGAAAAATGGCCAAAGTGGGTTGTTCTTTGTTCCACTGATGCAATGCTGTAGAAGTGATCTGTGACTGGTCCACGACACGGATACGACCGGCCCCTGGCTCAATAGTGAAGACGTCAGGCAGCTCTAGGGCTAGAAGGATCTCCATTCTCTCATAACTCACTTCGATCCATGTTTTAAACTCCATTGCCAACTCTAACAGGAGGGACTCCTTTCCCAGAGTGTACAGACCTGTAAGACAGTGTGCAGCTGGTTTCCAACAGGTTTAGATCAGAGGCAAATGTCAAAACATCTAGAGATGGCAGGATGTACAGTAGGTTATCCCAGTGGAACACTGTACTGAGCTGTATTGAACCTTTTACCAATCAGTAGCCCATGTTAATTACTGCTCTACACAACTGCTGAGCTATTCCACGAGGAGAATCTATGAGAGCTTCTGCACCTCAGCCTTGTTTATTTTGTAAAGAGAAAAAACTGTGCTCCAAATGAGCAGCAATACAAACAGACACTAAATTAAAAAAGAAACAAATGGCATTAAGCTGTCCCAGATTTTTTCAACAGAAATTCATCACTAAGGTTTACCTGTTGGTTGAAACATATCTAAATAAACAAATTAATTCTCTCCAGTGATTTTTGTTCTTTTCAGCCCCGTCAAACACACAAATGGGGGCACAGAGGAGAAGACCAGACAAACTAACGGGAGCATAAACGGCACCAGCTCACAGAGGAGCTGAGATGAAATACCTGAATAAAGTAGGCCAGTCGGATGAATAAAACATATTTGGGAGCCTCTGTGTCACTCTGTAGCACAGAGCCTCTCAGACACAACCCTTAAAGCCAATTACTTTCATACAGTAGTTTTCAGGAAAAAGGAAAAATAATACTATTTTTTCCCCTCATCAGGCCTGGCACTTTGTCAGGCGTTCACAACACTGAGCAAAACACTGTTTCCATGAAAACTCACCTATAACAACATTGTGGTCGGGGTGGCTACGAATAATCTCTTTGATTTGTTGCGTGGCTTTCTGTCTGGATGGCAAAGAGCGGTTTGGGTCACAGTTAGTGTTGTCCAGGTACAAAACATCTATAGTGGTGTTGTTCCTTAAACATGGCTCACGCAGCATTGAAGGAGTGTATCTAAAGTCACCTGAAATGAGGGAGAGTCAGAATGAGATAGTCAGCACGGTGCCATGTGGTGCTGGGAGACAATGGACATGACAAGAAAAAGAAATGAACAGGCCAGAAACATTGTTTACATGAGGGAGGAGAGACTAACCAGTGTACAAGACTGAGCCAAAGTATCCCTCAAAGAGAAACATGACAGATCCTGGACAGTGGTTAGCATCTATCAATGTGACGGTGAGCTTCTCTTTGCCGATGTCGTCCAGTGGTAGCAGATACGGCTCGCCAAGTTCTAGAGGGTGGATCCACTGTTCTTTCACCTGAGCAAGGGGGGGGGGGGGACTGATTAGCATAATAATAAACAAGTTCAAAGAGAAAGCAGAAATAAAAATGTTTTTTAAAAAAGATACAGGGAAACTCAAAGAGGAATGCCAATTTGGATTCAGGAATCAGACCACCAACCTCGCTACAATTAATATTAGACTTGAAATTTTTGTTTTTGAATAAACTTTTTTATTTGAAGTTTACTCTGTTCAAGTGAATTATGACTGGATTATAGCTTTATAACAGGTTTGATTTTTTAACTGACTTTTTCCAATTGTCTTCAGGAAATATTTTTTAATTTGGTGATGTATAAACAAAACTGAATTCAATAATTAAAATAATTATTATAGAGAAACTCAAATGTCCCCTCTATAAGGAAAAAACAAACCATAGGATAACTGAACATGTTTTGCAGTATCAGAAATACACTCAATGTTATCCATGTGCATTAAATGGGTACTTTGAGATCCTTACTAGACAGTAGACAGGGAATGAATGCAAATGTCTGAAGGTTTCTAGAATAGGCTTCACCACACTAAATGTACGAGTCGACTTATGGCTTTAACAGTAACAACAATCCAGCATTGTCAATAAAAAAAATACAGAAGTAATCAAGTGTCTTTTTCTTTATGATCAATTAGGTAAAATGTCAAATTGTTTTAAAGCTTCCCTTTATATGTTATTTCTATTAGTTTAACGTGTATTAGGACAACTGCTTTGACAAAATAAAGCCCCCCCCCTCTCACCTTCAGTTTGAGTCGGAGCAGGGTGGCGGTGGTCGGTGAGCAGTAGATGGGCCGGTTGCTCCAGGTGGAGGTGAGACCCGCCGTGTGGTCTCCGTGCATGTGGGACAGAAAGAAGAGTCGCGTACCTGGACACTTCCGCACGTACCAAAAGTCCACGGCGAGAGGCGTGTACGGGATGATTTTCCCATTGGAGGGCATTGTTCATGTCTTCAGTGGAGCTCTGTGTGGACACTGCCTCAGGTTACAGCCAACACCAAACAGCTCGTCTCCAAGCACGTAGCACCACGCAACGGACAGTCTACATGTTATTTTTTAATATGCCACACGAGGCTTAGAGATAAGTGTGGGAAAACTATATATGAGACTCCTCACTGGCCTGCAGGTAACTCTGGCAACTAGCTAACGTTACACCACGGCCCCATGTCACACTTTCCCACCACGCATTATTGTCGTGCTTCTCGAAGCACCGACTTTTCGTTTTGAAAAGCTTTTTCCCACTCCTCAAAATCACCTGCCCGAAAGTCATATTTTCATTTTTAGGATGCTTACATAACCCGCCATATCTGTTTTTGATTTGGCGTCCCTCTTCCGCCCCTCCTTCTTCATTTGTTTCGCTGTCTTTTGTTTGGCAGGTTATTTGGCATCACAGCGCCCCCTAGAGGGAAAGGTGTGCAGCGCTGCTGTCCTCTTTCTCTACTGACCGCGTGCTGCCTAAACAAGAATTACATGAAAAAACCTACAAAACCAACTAAATTAGGATACATTCAGAAAATGGTGCATCTGTTGTGTGAAGCAATTGTTCCTTTCAGATTTTATTACAGAGTATTACATTAATGACAAACTATGACTAACTAATTAATGGCAACTATTAGTACATTATTTGCAATAATGTTGTTTTAATTATTTATACCTAGGATTTAAAAAGCTGGGTCATTCACTTGAAATAAACCTTCAACTAATGTCATGTATTTGACAGTTGCCAAAAAAGCTCAATTGAGCCCAACTGTCCACAAGATGGCGGCATAAAAGAGGAAACTGGTGTTTTGCCAATTACATTATGGCAAGAAAATGGGCCTGTTTGACGTTTTATTCAACCTGATTATATCAGAAAATGATTTTTTCAGATAACTCAAGAAAAATTTCAAACTGATTTTGTACATGCTATTCTCTGTAGTGTAAAAAAAGCAGGAATGTAAAAGTTCAAATGCATAATTTGAACATTTGATGATACTATTTCTTCCCAAATCACAGGGAGACAGGATACCACGGAATGGGGGCGTTGCTATGGTGCTGACAGCAACCTTTTGTTGCACCCCACCCCCACTGTTGTGGTTACACACTGCTCACTTTCAGGATTATACCTGGGATTGCGGCACATTCCTTTTGCTATCACACAGCATGAGTCCTGTGCTCACACCTCAATGCATTGTGATCACTGCCTGCTTTATCCCCCTCTCTCCCTCTTTTTCACACACACACTGCTGAAAATCACCAAGTCTCTGAGACTACAGTGAATGTGAAGTAACACATTTGGCAGAAATTGCTATTCCTCGTTGTGAATTGGCTGAGATGTCAGGCTGATAAGTTACAGTGAACAACTGCTCTTCAGTACTGAAGTTACTGGTGAAAGTGGGTTAGCCTGAGTAAAAAATCTGCATGTAAACAAATGGAATCCCTCTTGAACTGACATTATTACCACCAATAAATGATAGAACTCTTCAATTAATGTTTGTTCAAGTCAAAATCTTCATTCACACGTGCGAGATATTGCACGTGCTCAGTGAACTCTTTTGTCGCTTTCCATATTGAGAGTGAAATCAACAGCTCTGTTTACAAGTGCCGAGCCAAATGTTGAAGAGGTCAAGAGGATGGGTCGGCTTTTCTGTCTTGTTGTTATGCAGAAAAAAAAACACACACAAAAAAAAGTGCTGTCAGTCAGTAGATGAGATGCTGTGGAAGCAGATGGTTGCACAGTCTGTGATCTGCCACTGCTGTTATTAAAGACAGCCTTTTAAATCCTCCATGTACACTTGCACTGGCTGCAGAGAGCCGTTATGACCTTTCTGACTCATGTTCTAAATTTGGTTTAATGCATGACAGTGTGTCAATTCCTTACATTTCTAACACTAGCTTTGATGACTGAATAATATGCGACATCTTATCAAAGGCTCTGTTTTCTCTCTGTTCGAGCAGAGTTATTTATTGATCCGTAGGGAAAAAAGCGCATCTTTACTCTGTCCATTTATCAGAATTAACAAATTTGTTCAGTGAGAGGCGGAGGCTTCTTCTGCTTTATATCTCCCTCGGGATGATGCAGCAGTGCTGAAAACAAATCCCTGCGCATGTGAGCATGAGGAAAGCCTAGAATATTTTTAGGAGGTCCTGGTAGCAAACACTCATTCACAGTTTGGCAGACACTCTCATTCATGCCATCTGCGTTAATCCGTTTTTCTTTATGTGGCTTGCTTTCCTCCGCCCTCCCTCTGTAGTCATCTCAGTTTGCTCTCTTATATCTCTTCTGCCATCCCAGTCGAGAACTCTCCTTTAGTCTTCTTTACGCTTCTACACAATGGCTGCTTTCTCCTCAGTCAGTCCAGAGTGCCCCCTTTTCTACACTGCTTTAGCAGCAGAAGTATCAAAGGTTGAGAGGCTTCAATCTCCTCAGCTGCAAGCCACGATAAGGCACTGCGCTTTGGATTATAACAGCCCGGTCATTAACCCGTTCAGCTGCTTCGATTAGTTTGTGAGACTTGAGTGAGCAGAGTGGTGAGGCACATCTGGTGAGGATCCCACACGAACAAATAAAAGCTTTAACATCACAGCTTGTGTCTATGGCAGTTTGTTTGTGGCTTCTGGAGATAGTGATGTTTGTTTTCCTGGAGGGCCCAGATTGTTTCAGGTTTTTCTTGGTATGATGCAGGGATGGAGAAATCATCGGTAAAGAGAGCTGAAAGCTTTCGCTACTGTTGCAATCCTAATAAGCATCATAAGAGCTGAAGGGGTGGGCTGGAGACGGTCATTAATTCTCTCCATCTATACACGGTGACTGGTTCCATATCAATTTATCAGGGAGTCTTTCATGAAAACAGATGCAACGTGGTTTCCTGAAAGAGAGAGTAAACAAATGGATATTAATATTCAACCTTCATGTCATGGAAGAATAACAGCTACATGAATATTACCAACAAAACATGCCGTTCCACCTCTGTGTTGTACTGACTGATGGTGCCTCTGCTTGAATGTGAAAAAACAAAGTATCTAACATTATGTGCTGTCATAAAACTCTGGATCAAGGTTGGGTTATGTAAAGGAAATATAAGGAAAATAGGTAATATAATAAACAAACCAATCCAAATATGCTTTTTTTATTTGTATCTGGAGCCAGCAAATTTGTTCAACCTCATATCTGGTCAAAAAAGGTAACAGTACAAAGATGAGAAATGGATTTTAGATCTCAGGTGTCAATTTTTGAGGCAGTTTTCTCGTAGACGATGGGTTTCGTCAGAAATAACCCCTTTTATGTCCTCTGTGTTTACAACAGCTTACAAAATGGGCTGACAGCTCCTCTTAAATCGGCTTTCAACAACAACAAGCCGGAAAAATCGACATTTTCCAGGTGAAGTTTCTTCGTGTGCATCATCACGTTGATCGAGATTTCAGATAAAATGCTTAATTTCAAGGGTTCTGTTTACAGTGGGTTTGTTAGACGATATCAACTGTCTGCTCATAGAAACTCTGATGTTATGTCGTAATTTATTTTTTCACTCTGAGCAGATGTCACTGAACTAAAAAGCCTGTATTTATGCCAACGGCATACCCTGAACACTAGATTTAATAAAGAGTGATGAATAATTGATCGGAAAGGTCTGTTTCCCACAGTTCTGCCATATGCTTTTGTGTATTAATGTGAATGATTAATTGTGCCTTTGCTCCTGATGTAGTAAAGAGCTCCCTCGTGCACGCAGCGCCACAAAGGACTGTTTTACGCCAAAGAAGAACTCGGTTATTTAACAGTTTTATGGCACCCACGAGGCTGTAATGGGACATTACTGTGGGTGCTGCTTTCTCATTTCACACATTTGAAGTGATACCGTTCAATGGGTATTGGCTGGGGAAATCCTTTGACAGAGATGGTGTAGCACGTTTTACTGGTTAGTCGCCTAAAGGAGCCTTAAAGGGAAATGGTGGTGAGAAACAGTAGTAAAATGAGGGTAACCTTCTTCATGCTAATCACACTCTGGCTGTTGGAGCAGACAAACGTCAGTATGTTGCTTTGCCAGTAATGAGGCACCAAGTCGCGTGCAGCAGTGCACGGGCACGCACACACAAATGCACGTGCACACAAAAGCAAAGCGAGCATGAAGGTCAGTCGAGCATGTTAATGTGATGTGAGTATTCCTGTAAGAGCAGCTTAGTCCACAATTTGTAACACTGGGAAAAAAAAAAAACACAGGTTGGTGAACATTCCAGCGTCAGTGTGTCAACAAGGCTTGTTGTGAAGCTTCACCAGCTGCACTATCATCCAGCGCGTGAGCCTTTCTAGTTCACACCTCTGTGAATTTACATCTGATTTACACCAGGATATATGGCAGCTCTTTTCATATAGAACTGCTAAACAATCATTACAACATCTCTAAAATAATAATTTCACCTGAATAAAATCAAGCAGTCATTTTGCAAGTGCAGTAATGAGCTGTGAAACCTGGAATTATTGAACTGATTTTTAACCTCTGAGTCTCTGGAGAAGGTATTTATTCCACATGTCCTGTCACATAAGTGATGAATGTGACCTTTTTCTTTGCCAGGTTTGCAATCACTTAAAAGCAAATTCAGTGAATATAAAAATGAGATTGGTGCCACTCACTATGATAGCGTTTTGGAACGCCCATGATATGCATGTGTTATATTAAATGTTCTATACTTTAAATCTAGAACAGTCAAATCATTTAGTGCACATGAATTTATCACGTGGATCACACAGTTCTGTTTCATTTTATGGGTTACCTCATGGATCAGTAGATGGGACGGTGAGGTAAAATGAAAGATAAATGTTCTCTGGATTATGTCTCTCTTGGCTTTCTGGCTAGCTCTCCACTACCCACTTGTACGAAGTTTTGGATCGACTGAGTGCAGCAGAAAATGGTTGAAATTATTTATGTAGTTCCAGTTGAGCTGAGATAAAAGAAACTTTTATGGCATCTCTCCCGGATGTCTCTCCCAGGATGCCTCTATCCTTGTTCACTTTTCTTCAGATCTTTTTGTTTGTATGCAATCTTTTTTATTTCGCTTCAGGGTTAATAATTTATTTTTGTTTCTCAAAGATGGTTTTATTCTTAATATCTTGTGTACATTGTCACGATGCATACACAATTCACTGGGAGTGTGGATGGTTGAAGCTTAAACTCAACTAAATGAGGGAAAGCTTTTTTGAGCCAAGATTTTGAATTTATTTGGGGGAGACTTACAGTTTGTGGTCTTTGAAGCTGAAGCATTTTTTTAAATAAAGCAGAGAAAAGAAGCGGGAAAATGGGCAAAAACAAGGTCAATTGGAACAGTTCTTTTTTTGGATATTGCTTCTCTGTGTAGAATGATGTCCATTAAACTGATGGAATTGA